GTCGCTGCGGACTGATGAGAGCTTCTCTGCACTCTGAACAAGTCAGTATAAGCTGAACGGTCCTCCGCTTGTGAAAGCACCCTGAACAGTCCGAGCATGTTGCTTGAACTGTCAAACCGAGGGATCGACAAAGAGCACGTCCTGTGACCAAGTCGTGCTCACACTGGCTTACCTTTGCTCGGCTCGCAGCCGATTTGGAGGGTAGCAATGAAGACTGACACACAGGGGAGCTCGGGTCGAAGGCCAGTCGAAGGCCAGTCGAAGGCCAGGCTATGGTGAGCCCTGGAAACCAGGACGAACAATGCAGTACTGCACCCCGCCTTGCCCGCCAACTGAAATCGCAAGCCCACGACGGGCCGCTCCATCCGGTTTCTTGGTACCAGAGTACCTGCGGTGGTTGGGTTAGGGTTAGCAAGGTGAGGTACATGTACCTTCCCTGACTGGGCTCTCCACCCCCTCCATCTCAACCACACCTCGAGTTGATAGATCAACTCCTCGCCAGGAACACCAGCTTCCCATCACACCCTTCCAGATTCCACCAACCCCTCATCACCATGTCGCACATATGCAAGCGCCTTCGTTCGGACCATCGGAGCAATGATACGGACGGATATCCGACACCTGCTCGTGCTAGCACTGCACTGACGCCCTGGGGGGCAGATCTTATCCAGATTCTTCCACACCCGACCCATGTTGGGGAAGCCTGCCCGACCAGGGATACCAAGAAACAAGCTCAGGGCTTCCGTCTCACATATGGGCAGCAATCGACATGCTTGATGGGTCCAGAATCAACTCGAAACTATGGGCTCGCCCAGATAACTGCCATCGCGACAAGAGACAGAATGCCATCTGCAATTCTCGTGTTCTGATTTGGCGAGGTACCTTCTTGGGTGACTCTGAAGACGAGCTGCCACAGGCCATGCAAGAGAATCTGGATCCTCTTTCTCACATTAAGCAGCTGCGGCGGCGCCACGTGAGCCATGGCAGCATCGTCACACCCTTGCCTCGGATCCGACGCGAGAGCCGACCGGTGACGAGCAGGGCACTTTATTGTGATGCCTGTCGAGCGACTCGTGGAAAATCCACGGCCCCATGTACCATGGCAGTAACCATGTGCCGAAGATCGCCATCTCGCGCCTTCTTTTATGCATCTCCATGGCACTTCGGGCGTGTTCAAAAGGGAGCCAGGTCGCCCACGAGGAAATGCTCAGGGATCCGTCAGTCGCCACAGCACCGGCAACACCTTGTTCGGCTGCCTGGTCTCTTTCTTTCGACTGCTCGACAAACGCGTAATCCGTCGTCATGAAGTCGCCTACCTTTGCGACGATCGTCGCCTTCGCCTTCGGCACCGTAGCCGTTCTGGGTCAGGGCGATCCAGCGCCGAGACCTCCCAGCTCGCGGCTCCGTGTGATTCTCAACCCCGCCCGCGTCCGGGCCCTTGACGAGCCTGACTTCAAGCTGTGGACCATCACCGGCGAGCCCAAGAGCGTCTCTACCACCTTTGGCGACACTTCCATCACTGTCGCCGCCGCCAACTCCACCATCGCGGGCGCGTCCTACAAGTGGCACTACACCCGCCGCGTAGCGCCTTTGGGTGAGAGGGTCGTGGCCCAGGGCATCTCGACGAACACCGATGATGCTGGCAACAAGCCCATGACCATCTCCATTACGGGACTCCCAGCCGGCAAGCACTCGCTGCTCACCTGGCACAACGCTTGGGACAGCCTGAAGGCAGTCGCATCTGTGACCGTCAAGGTCAACGGCGAGGATGCGGAGACGGTGCGCCGAGCCTCCATGATATGATCCTCCGATGTGGCTAACTCGACTCAGCTTGCCCAATCTGTGCGCGTGGACAACATCTGGGAATCTGCTCATTCCTTCGTCCAATTCACTGTTTCTGGTGCTAACGATACAACCAACATTGAGTTCATCCCTGCCGGCGCCGACGGCCGTGTCTTCCTGAACGGCTTCGAAATCGATACTCCCGACATCGACAACGTCGTCAGTTTCCCGGAACCGAACAACCGTGACGAACGTGTCCAGCTCGAGGGTGGTGACACTTATGAGGCATCCTGGCGGGCTCCCGACGCCGAGTCACCAAAGTACAATGTCTACATCGGCACGTCACCCACAGAGTTGAAGAGTTTGGTCTTGGGTCTGGACAAGACATCGACCACGCTGGCCGGTGAGTTTTTCCCCTACCCATTCCGCGAGCGCTTGTTTGACAAGGAGAAAAAAAGGTCTTGACGTCTTTGGAACGTTCTATTGGCGCGTGGATGTCGTTCTAGGGGATGAGCCCTACATCGGTCACGCTTTCATGCTACGTGGCGCACAGTTGGCGTTCCCTGGAGCTGAGGGCTACGGGTAGGTTCTTCGCGATATCCTTTCATGGCCTCGCTGACCATGGATTAGCCGTTTCGCCCGAGGCGGTCGCGGTGGTCGAGTCGTCCATGTCACCAGCCTTGAGGATAGCGAAGAGGAGGGCACTCTGCGCTATGCTCTGGCCGTTGCTCGAGGTCCTCGCTACGTTGTTTTTGACGTGGGAGGCGTCATCACCACCACGTCTCGCATGGTTGTTAGCGACCAATACGTAACAGTCGCCGGCCAGACAGCTCCCGGGAAGGGTATCATCGTGCAGGGGCACCCACTCGGTCTGTCTGGTGCCATTGATGCCATCTTCCGCCACATCAAGGTGCGGCCCGGCACGGTCTCTGGCGAGACAGTCGACGCTATGGGCATGGCGGGCTCCAACCACTGCATCATGGATCGCTGCTCCATGGTGAGCCATCATTCTGCTGCTTGGTAGTGCATTATACTGACCAGTGACAGGGCTGGGGCATTGACGAGAACTTTTCTTCTCGCAACGCGGCCAACATTACCTTCCAGCGCAGCATGATCTCCGAACCTCTGAATGTCGCCGGTCATAAGAACTATCCGCCCGGCCGCGAGCACGGATTTGCTGCGACGGTCAGCGGCAATGTCGGCTCTCTGCACCACAACCTCATTGCGCACGCCGAGGGCCGCAGCTGGAGCATGGGCGGTGGTCTGGACGACGAGGGCAAATTCGGAGGGCGTCTTGATATTCGCAACAATGTCGTGTACAACTTTGGTGGGTACTTGACGACTATGATACAAAACAGCACACTAACATCATCAGGTCGCCGTGTCACAGATGGCGGTGCGCACGAGGTCAACTTTGTCGGAAATGTCTACAAGCAGGGCCCTGCCAGCAACCTCACTTATGCCCTGCGTGCCCAGTATGAGAACCAGCTGCCCGGCCAGCAACAATACTACTGCGAGGGTAACTCCATGCCTGGCGTCTTCGACCAGGACTCGGCGCAATACGCATCTCCCGATGGAACGGGCTCCAACAAGAACGTCGCCTGCTGGGCCGATGTGACAATCAGCCCGGCCCCTTCTTACCGCAAGTTTTACGATCAGCCGTACGTGCACCCCCTTGACCCTTGTATCCTCTTTCTCGTCTAACTTGGCCAGATTCTTCCCCTCCTATGTCGAAACACAGCCATCGACCGAGGCCTACAAGCGGGTCCTCTCTGACGCTGGAGTCAGCCAGCCAGTCGTTGACAATCACGACTCTCGCATCTTCAACGAGACACTCACGGGCACCTACACGTACAAGGGCTCCAAGTCTGGCAAGCTCGGTCTTATTGACAACCCCGCCGACGTAGGGGGTCTCGAGGATTTCCCCACCGTCACGCGCGAGGCTTCCTGGGACGCCGACGGCGACGGCATCGCCGACTGGTGGGACGGATCCACCGGCGGTGATGGCTATGAGCCTATCGAGGGGTACCTCAACTTCATGGCGGACCCCCACGCGTATGTTGCGCCGGGCAAGTCCGTGATTGTCGACCTGAAGGATCTCTTCCGGGGGTTCGAGAAGAAACCCACATTTACTGCAGCGGGGGCAGAAAAGGGAAGCGTGGAAGTACAAGGGTCGTGGGCCACGTACACCGCTGGTGATGACGCTGGCATCGACTACATTGAGCTGACGGTCAAGGATAGCGAGGGGGGCAGCTGGACGAGGACGTTTGGTGTAGCCATCTTCGAAGGGGCGCCGGCTTCTGGGCCTCCCAAGTGTCGCAGGGCAACGCCAGTCTGAGATGTGATGAGCGCAGGCAAAGCGAGCACATCGTGGTCATCATCCCAGCAGTGCAGCATAGAAGCCGGCGAAAAGGGGCCCATTCCATGACCTGTACTCCTCTCGTTCAAGTGACAATGGCCCTGTTCCTAGCAACTCTCATATTCACGCCCCAGCTGCATAAGGGCTCTTCTTCCTCAACCCTTCGCCAAACCTCCACAGCAGCCACGGGCCAGGCCATCCGATAACAACACCCACGCCCGCCAGCACCGTATTCCCCCACCCGTACCCCAAGCTCGCGTAGACGTCCGGTCCGAACAGCGGGAAGCCAAACCCCGCCAGGCTCCGGAGCACAGTCGCCGCGCCGACGGCACTCGCCGCATACCGCGCGTACGAGTCGACGAGGAACCCCTGCACGCACTGAAACCCGATGATGGTGCCCATGGCGAACAGGCCGGCGCCGGCGTTGGGGCCCAGCCAGTGCGTGCGCGCCTCGGCCGTCCACCCGTCCACGAGCAGGCCGGCCGGCACGAGCACGGCGCCGGGCACCATCATGGGCACGCGGAACTCGGGGCGGCCGACGCCGCGGCGGCGCTTGAGCAGGGCGTAGACGCGGTCCTGCAGCGGCGCGCACAGCTGGGCGCCGAGGAAGAAGCCGATGCCGAGCGAGAGGTAGTTGAGCCCCGCGCGGCCGACGGGCTGGCGGTAGACGTCCTCCCAGAGGGCCGGGAACGTCGAGAGCACGAGGTACATGAGCCCGTAGAGGTACATCATGTAGAGGGCCAGGCACTGGATGATGAGCTGCGTCGCGAGCAGGCGGAAGGGCCGCGTCAGGGCCGTGGCGAGGGTGGCGCGTGCGGTGCGGTCGGGGTGGTCAAACTCGGTGTGGAGGGCCTCGTTGCCCGTTTGCTGGATGAGGCGGGCCCTGCGGCGCGCGAGGAGGACGGGCGTGAAAGTCTCCTGGAGCACGAAGAAGCCGACGGCCTGGATGGTGGCTGTGAGGATGGTCGTGCTGTAGAAGATCCGGCGCCATGTGGTCTCCTGCGTGACGTAGCCGCCGGCGATGGGACCGAGGGCCGGACCGAGGAGCGGCGTCAGCGAGTACATGCCCATGGCGCGACCGCGCTCCTCGGCTGTGAAGAGATCGCTGAGGACGCCGCCGCCGATGGCCAGGGGAGCGGAGCCGCCGAGTCCGGCCAGGAAGCGGAACGCAATCATCTGGCCCTTGGTCTGGGCCAGGCCACAGCCCAGGTTAAAGAATATGTAGAAGAGATTTGTCAGTTGCAGGACAATGATGCGACCGTAGAGTTCCGAAAGAGGGCCCCATGCGAGGGGGCCGAGAGCGTAAGCGAGGACGAAGATGGACATTGTTAAGGCCTGCTCCGTGGAACTGGAAATATCCAAGTCACGATCTATGCTCTTCAAGGCCGGAGCAACCATTGATGAAGAGACGGGGGACAAGAACGTAAAACAGGAGACTGCGGATCGTCAGTTACATCAAGACCGAATACGCCAAGACACACTCACCACAAAAAACAGCGGCCCATTTTCGATGCTTTGACCATTGCTTCGGGTTATCCGCATCATACGGTCGGTCCCATGCTACTAGGTTCGGATCTCTCTCACCCTGTTCTTCTTCTGTCTTTGCCTCACCATCATGCGGGCCACAGAGTTCCAGATCCCGCCTGCTTTCGATATCGTCACGGACCTCCGAAATTGTCCGTGATAGCGTAGATACAGGTCTGCTGCTGCGCCTGCTGCTTCGCGGTTCTGGTATAATTCTGGCCGGCGAGCTATTGTTACTGTCAGAGCTCGAGCTCGAGTGCCGTGGTGTGGCTGCCTTCTCCTCGTTGGCCCGGGTATCGATTACCGGCCGTATGGCCCGCTAGAGATGATGCCTCAACGTCTCGAGCGGAGGCTCTCCAGTCTCTCTTGGGCTGCCTTTCACATTTTGGTATGTGTTCAGATCTGGCATGGCCTTCAAGTAAAGCAACTCAGTTGCAAGGCAAGTTTCGTGGTGTTCACCTCGTAATCAGAGGGCGTCTATTGAACCCGCCAGACAACAGAGTCAGGAAGACGGTGTACTTCTTTGATCAAGCAATACATGTCAAAGACCAGACGGAAAACACAGACAGTAAACAGGGAAAGAAGCATGCTTCTTAAGTAAGAGAGGAAATCTCGACCTCCCAAAGCCCACTTCACAAATCTATGCAACTGGAATTTCCCCACAGCCAAAATCCATCGCGGCATCCAGCAGTGAACGTTCCGCCCAATGACACGTCGATGACCGTCCAGATCGATCGCCCGCAGCACCGATGCCGTCCCCCGTAGAGCGGCGCTAGGCACTGCAATACCGATCAGACGGGGTGTTTGGGGTGGCCCGGATTTAACAGGTGGACGCCCGAGGACGGATAAGTCGGCGTCACTGCATGCTAGCAGCGGACTACTTCAGAAAAGATCATTGGGATTCACGGTTTCTCGCCCGTGCTGTACGTAAGCTGATGGATACGAAGACGGGCGGTGGATGCTTGTGGCTGCGTGCCGTCGACATCTGCCTCGGTAGCCTTCAATCAGCCAGGTCAAGAGGGAGGAGAGTCAAGTGGTCTTTGTTGCGATGTCGGCCGGGAAAAGAACGTCGTTCGGTGCCGCGGTCGACGCGCCGATGGAGATTTCCTGCCGCTCCGTCCCTCAGATCGAGCGTTGTGTAGCAGCGGCATCTTTTCTTCACCAAATCAGGGGTTAGCGGTGGCAGCCAGTGTGCGAGATTTGACCAAAAAAAAGCTTCTCAAGTTTCCGATTTCTGCTGGTACCAAATATCGTACCAAGTCCCGTAACTAAAGCCTACCAAACGCCGAGAACCATGCTACAGAGCATCCCTGGTATCATGCGCCGCGCCCTCGCAGCATCTAGACCTTCGTGTCGACCTTCTTCGCCTGGGGGGCGCCAGACTCGCCGTTCTCCTCACGCCCGCGCTTTCCGTTGTCATTGACGGGCTTGCCCTCGCTGTTGGTGGCCTGGATCGTGGGCTGAGCACTGTGGGAAGAGACATGTTAGTAATAGTTCGACAAGACATATCAAGGAGATGTACGTACGCGTTGCGCTCATCGTTGCGCGAGTTGTCGCGGCCACCGCGGTCCTGGAAACCTCCACGACCGCGACCACCACCTCGGCCACGTCCACCGCGGCCACGGCCCCCCCTGCCGCCACGGCCTCCACGGAAGCCGCCCTTCTGGTCCTGGTCACGGCGGCTCTTCCAGTCGTCCTTGTCGCCGCCGTTGGGGCGACCGCCACGTCCGCGACCGTTCGTCTTGCCGGACTTGCCACCCTTGCCCTCCCAGAACTTCCTCGCCGACGTGCTGGGCTGCATCTCACCGCGAGCAATCATGCCGCTCTTCTCGGCGACATAGGCGCCCTTGGACATGATCTTCAGCTCGTGGCCGTTGTACTTGGGCTTGGGCTCGATAGCCAGGAAGGCCTTGGCGCCCTCCTCGGTCTTGAACTCGACAAACACAGAGCCCTTGAAAAGATTCTCATCCGTGCGACGGAGACGGACGGCCGCGACATCGCCGCCGTGCTCGGTGAAGAAATCCTCGAGGTCGAACTGGGTCTTGGGGGTTTCGTCACCGAAACCCTTGACGTAGACAGCGCGCTTGGTAACGTCGTTCTTATCGACGGTGAGTTTGTAGGGCTCCTTGCGCTTGACCTGCTCCTCGCCCTCCTCGCCGATAACCTCGAGGACGCTGCTCTCCTTGAGCGCGCTCACAAGCGTCGCGTAGTTAGGGTAGCATCGCATGCGCTTGAAGTTGTGAATGTGCTTGACGTCAACGGGCTTGTTCTCGGGACCACCAGTGAGGTTCCAGAGGTGCTCATCTGAAGGGAGGTTGGCATCGCTGAGGTAAAACTCGACCTGGACATGTAGTTAGCGGACCGGTCGGGGTTTCCTAGAAAACGTGGCCGCGCGCCGGCAGGAACCAAGCTTACCTGACGACGCATCTGGTTGGGATCATCCGACTCGGGCAGGAGAGAGGCATCGAACTTCTTGTTGTTGCGGCTGTCGCGCTGGTCGTGCTGGGCGCTGGTCTTGATGATCTTGGGCTCCTCGGTGGCCGCGGTAGCAACCTCGGCGGCCTCAGTCTCAGCAGGCTTGTCGGCGGCAGCAACCGTCTCGTCGGTCTTCTCGGTCGCGGCCTCGACAGGGGCGGTCTCAGCGGGAGTCTCGACAGCAGGCACAGCCTCGTCGGTCTTGGGGACCTCGTCAGCCTTGGTAGGCTCAGCGACGGTGCTCATGGTCGTGGTTGTGCAATTTCAGGATCGAATTCGGTAAATTTTGAGTTTCAACGTGATTGAAGATGAATACTCTAGTCAAGGGAGAAATGGCGCCGAGATAGAAGTAGTTGGTGACACACGAAGGTAAGTCGCGTGTGTTGTGTCTGACAGCAGAAAAAGTGTGAGTAACCGGCCAAGCAAAAGTTGCGGGTGCTAGGTAGGTGAAGCAACGGAAAACGACAGGGGACTTTGGATGGTGGCGGGGTAAAGCAGCAGCGGCGTGAAGAGGTTGGGATACACGTCGATGGGGTGAGTACAGAGACGTACAATAGATCGAAGCTTGCCGGAGCAACAGTTTGTAGAGTTGTCCAAGATTCGACAGGGTCAATTGGCAATGCTCATTGGAGTAGGTACCTAAGGAAGGTAGGTGAAGAAGGTAGACTGGATCCAATCGAGTCTGGATGGAGGTTTTTTTTTTTTTTTTGCGCGATGCGCTGAACTGCATGCAGCAGGCGCCAGGCAGCCTGCAGAGCAGGAGCTTTCCATTCTGCCGCAAGCAAGAACTCCACACCGCCTGCAGCACCTATGTACAAGCCCCACATCTTGAGGCGGGCAAGTGGAGTCACAGAAAATTACGAGCCTGTCTCAGGAAAGAGGAACCCAAGCACGGTTTGCTGACATAAGACGTCCTAGTGGTAGCTGCTGGCCCAAGCTTCACCAGCCGGGGGCAGATGGTGAGACGCACGTGACCACGAGTCTCGGGGGTGCTGCACGCCAGACCATCACCATTTTTTTGGACGCCGCGTCGCATGGTTCCGAGTGTAGCCTGCACGCCCAGCATACCTCAAGGCATATCGACACTGCCCCGAGGGCCACTTCGCCAACATGAGAGCCCGACGCCCCAGATTCTACAGCTTGAAAAAGCCTGTACGTGACAACCCGTCCCGAGCATGCCCCAGAGCACCTTCTCTCGCTGCCCGCTCGCCCCCTTGATCACTCGCCATGCTGGTGCTTCTGATCTGAGCAGCTATGATCGTCACTAACGCAGTCTTTTTATAGAGAGTCCGCATGTCATGGAATAAGTTCAACATGTACAACCTAGCTCGTATGCAGCTCTCGAGAAACCGCCGATCAGGGACCTTCTTCCAGCAAAAATGGGCAGCCAAGTCTCTCACCCGTGGTTATCACGGCGGCACCATGCGCGAGGGCGACTGGGAGCGCATGTTCTCTCGTCGCCTCCTCGGCACTGTCGACATCGACCCTGCCTACCTCGCCCGGTACGATGGTTCTGAACAGGCTGCCGGCCGCGGCTCCGGCAGGGACCTCAATCCCAACGACCGCAGGCCCGCCGTCTCGGCAGACCAGTTCTCGAAATCATGGAACGCCCGCCGCCGCATGTTCGAAAACGAGGCCAACAGCGTGAGGTCCGATACCTATCACCACGTAGGTGCCAAACGTGTGATCGAATACGACGATGTCTGGATCAAGACGAACGACGTCGCCAAACAGATGACCCCCTATATGCAGATGACCTACGCACCACTGGAGAGGCGGTTGGAGGTTGCCATCTTCAGGGCCATGTTTGCGAGCAGCACACTGCAGGCGAGACAGTTTTGCATCCACGGCGCCGTTAGGGTCAACGGTCAACTGGTGCGCAGTCCTCTCTTTCTCCTCCCTATCTCTCTCTCGCTCTCGTACCAAACCAATCCAGGAGGCTCTTATTATCTAACACTTTTTCTTTCACTTTTAGATGCGATCCCCAGGCTATCTCCTCAACCCCGGCGACATGTTCCAGGTCGATGTCGAGCGTGTCCTCTACGCCACCGGCAAGCCCAAGAACCCCCAAGAGATTGCGCGTCTCGACAAGCTCCTGCGGGAGCGCGAGGAGCGCGAAGCCGCCGCCGAGGCCAAGGACGCTGCCCTGCGCGCCGCCAAGCGCCAGGAGCTCGCCGACAAGCTCAAGGCCGGCGACCGCGGCGGCGGTGAGGGCCCCTCGGCCGAGGCCTCAGAGCAGGCCACAGGCGAGACGGCTGTCGAGGCAGAGTCGGAAGCCGCCGTCGAGGCTGCGGCCACCGACGCCGACGCGGCCGGCATGCTCGGCGAGGACGGAGAGCCCATGACGGAGGACGAGCGCGCCGCTCAGCACAAGCGCCAGCTCAAGAAGCTCATCCAGGACGCCAAGACGCTCCTCAAGGACGGCCAGGACAAGATGAGCGCCAAGCACAAGCAGCGCGTCCGCCTCTTCCTCTCCGAGGCCAAGCGCGCCATCTCCCGCCTCGGCAAGAACGCCGCGGCTCTCGACCCGGACGCCGACCTCTCCCGCGACTCGGTCATGACCCAGCTCGCCACCATCCTCAAGGGCCTCAACCTCGACCACGCCCAGCAGGCCAAGGCTGAGGCCGACGCCGCCGCCGACGCCGCTGAGCCCACACCCCAGACCTGGGAGCAGGAGCTCCAGACCCTCACCAAGGCCGAGCAGGACGCCCTCGCGCGCCTCCTCGCTGAGGACGCCGAGAACCCCGTCGACGAGACGAAACCCTACCTCACCCCCTGGCAGCCGCGCCGCTACATCGCCCCCTTCGCCTTCATCCCCCGCTACCTCGAGGTCAATCAGAACATCTGCGCCGCCGTCTACCTCCGCCACCCTGTCGCCCGCCGCGGCGAGGCCGAGGTCCCCACCCCCTTCCCCATCGACCAGAACCAGCTGGCCTTCAACTGGTACCTCAGGAGGCGTTAGAACGAGATTCAGCGTTCCATTCAGTAGAGCTTGAGCGATATAGGTCGGTTCTTATTGATACGTGGGAGAGGATGTGGACCGGTCCACGTGGCTCGTGACAGGGTACTGGCTGTGCAGCAACCATCACGACGTGTACAACATTGGAGTAACTATGTAGAAGGTCAAAATGTAGTCTCAATGTATCATCATCAACACCTTATTCATGATTAGCGTTGTGGGGTCAGGTCACTGTAGTGTTGAGCGAAGAGCCCATGCATGACAATTCGTGTTGCACTTGTCATCGTCAAGGTGATCAAATTCAGAAAACTCATCTTCAATTCGCATACGAAACCAGTAACTAAGTAAGGTAGAATACCTGCAAGAGAAATGACATGCTAAGAAACGGGAGGACGGCTCTCGTCAGACGCACAACGGACTGACCAAAACCATCGCCATCTTCCACACCTCCGCACCTCTATAGTCTTATCTGACTAGAATACACACACAACAGTCGCAAGCAAGCTGTCGAGCACCTACGCAACGACAGGAGCTCTATAGGAACTGCAATAGATAAAACAAGGCTCCAAAGGTATCAGGGGTATTGAGAGTGCCGTCATATTAAGAGAAGCCCGAGATGGGTGGCGAAACCGTTCCGTCAGAAGAACAAGTTCTCGACCCCTTGCTACGGCAGTTCGCCTCTGCTGTCCAGCTATTGCTTCTCCACAGCGTCTCTTGCTTCGCCCGCCGCCACGAAGGGCAGGACAAGAATGGTGTCGCTGGTTAAAGTGTCCCAAGAACTCCTAGTCGTCATGATCGTAGCCTCGCAGAAGCTCGATCCGCAATCTGCAATATTTTCTGGGTTTTGTCTTTTCGTTCGTAGCCTGCATCAACCCACTGCTTGACTGCTTCATGGAAAGACTTTTGGATGACGATGAACGGTCGCCGTTGATTAAAGGAAAGCTTGCGAGAGTGTGATTAAAAAAAGAGGTCGAGAGAAGGGCGGTGGTAAGAAAAGACAAGAATAGAATCTGACAAAGAGGCGCATTGAGCTTTGTGTGTATGGGCATCATGGGTACTCAAACATGGGGTCGTGGAAGAAGCGAGTAGGCAAAACGCAACGTTAAGGGGCGCTGACCACCTTAGCGGAGCGAGAAGCCTCCCCTCTTCTTGGTCTCCTTGCCCTCTATGGGACGACCGCTCTCGATCCTCTGCTTCTTCTCCTCGAGATCCATCCGTTGGCGTTCTAGTTGCTCCTTCATCTCTCTGTGGCGAGCGTAGAGCTCCTCTTCGCTCTGCTTGAGCTTGCTCTCCTTTTCGGTAACCTTCTGCTGGAAGACCATCTTCATCTCGGCCTCCATCTTGGCGAGCTTCTGCTCGTGCAGCGCACGCTCCTCCTCCTGCTTGACAGCGGGGTTGACCTCCTTGAACACGCTGGGATCCTGGGACACACCCATGGCGATGAGCTTGTCGGTACGGTAGTTCTCGTAGAGGGTGTTGTTCGTGTGCTCCTTGAGTTCCTCCATGTGGGTGCGGATGAGCATCTGGCGAAGCTTCACAAAGTCGCAGTGTTCCTCGTTGTCGACCTCGATGATACCCCAGGGGTAAGCACGGCCACGAACCTTGCGACCGTCGGCGGTGGTGATCTCGTTACCAGCACCAACCACGGCGAAGGGAACTTTGGACATGATCTCATTGTTTTCGGCAATGGTCTCCTCGTCGTCGAGTTCGTACCTCGGGCCCTCGAAGATCTGGATTCCGTGGTACTTGATGTCGGCGAGAATCTGGTTGCCGGTTAGTTCAGTAGCGATGTAACTGGATTGCATATGCAACTTACGCGAGCCTTGAAGCTGACAATCTCCTCATCGGTCAGGGTGTCAGACTTGGCAATGACGGGAATCAGGTTGACCTTGGTGTGCAGGCGGCGCATGACTTCAATATCCAGAGGCTTCAGGGAGTGGCCAGTAGGCTGGATGAAGAACACACAAGCATGGATGCGGTTATCCACGATGTTCATGCGGTTCACCTTGTTCTCAGCATCGAGATAGGCGTCGTATCGCTGCTCGATATTGTCGACAATCGGGCGCCATGACTCGTCGTTGTTGACGAAGTCGCCGAAACCAGGGGTATCGACAACAGTCAGGCGCAGCCGAACACCAGCTTCTTCGATGTCCGCGCTGATGGACTGAATGGAGACAGTCTTGGGAACAATGTCGAGGCTAGGTCCCTTGCGCTCCTTGGGAGGGTAGAGCGAGGTGTTGAAGAGTGTGTTCACGAGAGTCGACTTGCCAAGTCCGGATTCACCTGAAAGTTCCAGGTCAGTTGAGCGATTTACACAGAGGTTGAAAACCACATACCAACGACCATCACGTTGAAGTTGAAGCCCTTACGGACGCTCTTGCGGTGCCATTGGTTGGGCAGGTTGGCGAATCCAACGTAGCCAGTCAACTTGCGGCGAACAATGTTGCGGAGGTCGCTCGAAGACTGAGCGGCCGGGGAAGCACTAGGAGCAGCACCTAGAACCCGAGTCAGAAGGAGCGATCGCGCTCAAATTGTCCAGTGTCACTTACTGGGCGCGGCAGCCAAGGGGGCGGGAACCGCGGCGGCCCGTTGCGGCGGGGGGGACGCAGCAGGAGATGCGTTGGAAGAAGCTATGAGTAAGAAATGTCAGCAATCAATCCACATCGACTATGGTAAGCTGTTCACAATGCTGCAATCGTGCAGGAAGGCAAAGGAGACTGTGCTGACGCAGACGTTGATGGCCAAGATCGCGGTTGGCCATTGCCTTTGCTTTGATGAGTTGTTCCGGTTCGGGCTTGGGCGGCTTGACAACCGCATCAAAAAGGTCCTGGAAGAACTCGTCTGGAATCGCGTCCCCGGGGGCATCGATGGATGGAGCATCGACATAGAGCATGCTCCTATAGTGGCGAACCGTCGGCTGAGCTGAAGAGGGCCGCGAGCCAACAGTGTCGTCCTTGCTGATTGGCAGGCTACTGGATCTTCTCGAAGGAGATGTGATGACTTGGCTGGGTGTTGGCCGGCTGGCCCATAGTGAGCTATTGTTGTTGCTCTTGTCGAGGTGGACACTTCGGGCTCGGGCCTTGACGTGTTCGACCATTCTCATCGCCATTGAATGCTAGAGAGTGTGTGGATGGGTATTGGGGGGCTTTTCGTGTGTTTTGTTCGCGTGCTTCCAAAAAGAGGGTAATCTCTGGTCTACCAATAAAGGACCAAAAAGGTAGACACCCAAGAAAATGGTAGATGGGGATTTATTGTAAAACCGTAACGAGAGCGCGTGGTGTCGACGTTGTTGCGAGAACGTCGAGAGGCCTGGTTCAAGGCCGGGAGCGAGATGTAGGCCACGTTTTGCATTCGGTTGAGAGGGTCATGCTTGCCCGGTAATCCAATCCAGTTCCTCTTGCCTTCCTTTCCAATGCATCACGCTGCTCGGGACAGAAAATGCGCTTACCCATTATTGAGAGCTCGGGAGTTGGAGCTGTTCACGAATACGTGGTACCTAGGGAAGGAATGGTAGGTTCTGTGCAATAGAAAGTCAGCGACGGTCGATGGCTCCTGTGCGGAATGATGGCATTGCCGGAAAGCCAGAAAAGGGGGGGGAGCAAGCATCGATGGCCATTCGACCACAGGGGAGGCAGCTTCGCGTCAACAACGGGACCGCACCGCGTTGAGATGCGTCCCTCCAGAAGTTTAATCGATTCTTCCTTCCATGGTGGAGTTGCCCGCCTCCAATCTAGCATTCAAGCGAATCCGGGAAAAATCATTGCACGTACCTAAAACGTGGTATCAAGTCGCGTGTCAGGGGCGTCGCAAGACTTCTCCGGAAGAAGGGCTCTGGCGATGTCGACGACGCTCGGTGGTATCAAAGGAAGAAATACTGGCGAGATGCGGCAGTATGAATGATGGGAGAAGGCAGCCTCAAAGGGGGATGGAGGTCGTGATGGCGAACGAACGTCCTTGGGGTTGGGAGGAAAGGAGATGGGAAATTTAGGTCGAGGTGATGACAGGGAGCGGCTCGAGCAAGGGGACGTGGACCCAGCGTCCAAAAGGCAGAGAGTGCGCAGGAGGTGGCCAGCCACTGGAAAGATTTGGCTGTGCGACCCCGTTTCAGTGGCCGAGTACCTCTTGCCGTCCCAAGCGTCCCTTCCTACGGCGGCTTAGGTGGCCGTTGCTTTCCACCAGCAATAGGGGCTTAAGACGCGCTAGGCCTCTTCAGGTCTAGAGGCAGGGATGCCGGGCTTGAGACGGGGGGGCGTGCCTTGGGTGGTTCGGATGCGAGCTCGGTGGTTGGCTCCTTGATGTCGACCTTAATGAGAAGGGACCCGCCCACTGCCACTGGATGGAAGCACGGATGGGGACTTGACCACCTCGATGTACCTCGCCCGCGAGCGCCATGCCAGAAGGGACTTTCAATGATACGAGGGCCTAACAAGTACCCCTCTAAACATCGTCGCCCAGTCGAGTCCAGGGGTCGCCGGCGCTCACTTGCGCGTCTGGATCCTCTCCATTTGCCTGTGTCCGGGGAAGCCCAACCAAGACCCGAACTGTTAGTGATGCACTGCGACATCTGTAATTCAAGATGTCCAGCCGGCCTGCCATGTCCTGCCACGGCACTCTTCTCATCTGTCAGGTGCTAATCCTAGAGACCGGGTACCTGAGGTGCCTTATCTTGTGCCCACCTTAAGGTACTCAGGTAAGGTAGGTGCCGCCTACTTACCGACGACCTCTCATCGAACTGGCAGTTGGCAAACGGCAGATGACAGCACCTCTGAAACAACAGGGAACTCTGCCTGCCTGAGGATCGCAGTGCAGCCAGTGCGCACCTCTCGAAAACGAGTCAACCACCTGGGTCATCAGACGACCCGGGGAAACATTTCGATATTGGCCGGCGGCTCAGGCAAATTACCCTCTGCGAGAAAAGGAAACCGTCTCAAAGTCGAGCGCTGCATTTGCGGTTCCTCAAGCGGGCTCCGATGGAAAAAGCAAACACACAGACTCTGGCGGAGCACTGACCAACATGAAGATCAGCAAAGCCCGATTTCTGGCAAAAGAACCAAGGAGTAGCCACTTATTGTGTGCCATACAGATCATTCACCGTTTCACAAGCCATGAGAGAACGGCCGAGAGTCCAGCTCCGTAGATGGCAGTTCTGCAGACCAAATTTTCAATCCAAGGTGGTTGATCGGTTGTTCCCAGCAAAATTTAGTGTGAGATGATAAACACAGTCGTCTTCTCTTCTTTGTCTGATGGACGGCTAGCGCACGTTTGATTGCGAGGACACCGCATGACTGTTCTCGCGATTGCCCATGGACGCAATTGCCAACCATTGGCTCACCGCCTGTGGCTGGCCGTCAGAGTCTATACAGGAGAGCCAATGTCAGCGTGAATCGATGGATTTTGTTCTAAGTCCATATAAAACTAAACGGACACTGCATCGTTGGACCGACCTCCGAGACATGATCTAAGTCTTTCCCTTCTTCTTTGGAAATGCCGTCTCAGTGTCCTCGTTCACCTGTATAATGGCTTGGCTCGCCCCCTCCCACGCCGACCTCTTACCCGTCGGGAACAAACGATAAATGTGTGGCGAGTACACACCCCACGCGACGAGGTTGTACAACCTGCGATTTCGCAGCCAAAACCACGTTCCCTTGAGGCTCCAGCTCATGTACTCATACAACCCTGTACCGGCAGTGTCGTGCAGCCATCTCATCCACGGGTACATCTGCCCCTTTCCCAGCATTGTCGCCGGAAAAGTCAGCATCTGACGAGCGAGCCATGTTTGGTACTCGTTTACTTGCACCGTCATCGCCTCCTGGCTCGGGAGAACCGAGTTTCCAACCCAAACCTGTGCGATGGCCATGGCTTGGAGCTCGCGGTACGCAGCTGCGCTTTCATTTATGATGCAGTAGTTTGTGCATGCGAGTGAGTCGGCGTAGCGTGGCGGGAAAATCATCTGGTAAAGGTCTGGAAACGCGGGGAGCGAAGCGTCGAGCTGCGTGCTTGGCAGATCTGGCAACAGCGAAAAGTCGGCTCGATAACCCGTGCAGGCGATGATGGCATCGACGTCTTCGATGATGTCGCCGTTATCAAGCTCCACAGTCCGTGGACCGACAACCCGCTTGACCCCCTTGACTGAAGCGATTCGCTTCTCGTGAACCAGGCGCTTCAGGTGATCATTGCAGATGATGGTGGTGACGTCTCCGCTGGTTTCTTCGAGCCCCCACTCTACATATTGCTCGGCCTCCTCGCCGTTGAAGTGACTGTCCGAGTTCTTCTGAAGTAACCCATCGGCAAGGATCTGGAATATTCCAGGTGCGTGGTGCTCCGTCCACAGAGCCATACGAGAGATCTTCCAAGAGACATAGCTGTCGAGAGGGCCGTCCTCGTTGGCCCGAGGAAGGATCTTTGCGCCGCGGCGATGGGCAAGGTAGACTTTCGCGGCATACTCAGTAAGTTCCTGCGCAAATTAGTCGTTGAGTTTACAAAGACGAAGGGGCATCATACGCAGGCTGTATCACAAGCCGAGTTCCCCATGCCCAAGACGATGATATTTTTGTCCTTGAAATCAGCAGGACTCGTTTGTTAGCAAATGAATAAACAATGTTGCAAACATACCGAGTACCTACCTTTTGTACGCTTGTCCATGTAGGAATTGGCCCTCGAATTTGTGTACATCGTCAATCTTGGGATGCATGGCAACGGTTTCTGAGCCGCTCGAGAAGACCACCCTGTCAAAAACTTGGGGTTCGATTTCGCCTTTGATATGCACCATCCATTTTAATTTTATTTCATCGCGCTTGATAACTTCAATGGTTGTATCGAAGACAATGTGTTCATATAATTTGAAGTGTTTAGCGTACTGACGATAGTATTCGGACCACTCTTTTGATGACACATGGACAGACATGCCTGAAAATGGTCAGTATTTTCATGCACAGCAAAGATGAGGGGGCACCTTGCCGTTCGGGAATGGAAAGTCTGTCATTGGGCACTTGGCTGCCGATTAGTGATTGCCCAACTTCGCTAATCGGTATGGGAGGCTCACGACATATTTGCTTAGTTGCGAGCGCGTCCAAGGTGTTGCCGACGTGATCGAGGTATCAGCATCGAAGGTAAAAATGCCGCCGACATCAGACCTGCGCTCGTAAACCGTGACGTCGAATCCCACTCCACGAAGCTCCTTCAAGGACGCCAAACCAGCCGGACCTGCTTATGATTAGCATCCAGGTCTGCTTTGGGCCTCCTCGACTTCATACCTGCACCGATGACTGCGACCTTTGGGTTCGTAGGTCGCCCTTTGCTGGGAGAAACGCTGGGAGAAAGCAATGGTCGACCCATGTCTGCTTCGAGCCACTCGTGCGAATGTGTTGGCGACGGTAGAGGAACCCACGTTGCTGAATTGGGGGACCTCCAGACACGCGGCATGTTGTGTGGGCACGAAAGCCAAACTCGAGTTGAAACGACGAGAGTGAGAATAACGGTACATCATATTGACTGATGCCGCCGAGAAGGGATTTATTCTTATTACTATTAAGACGATTTTGACCCAATGGCTGCCTGATGGTTCTTTGCACTCTCACTTGGTCTCCAGGTAGCCTACTAGTGGTGATGTCTAGAACAATGGAGACGGTTAGTGGGAACAATACCGAAGCCGTCTTTGAGCCACACGCGACCGAGCATCAGGCAAGTGGCGCAAGAACAATATATGGGTATTGCGCGCACAATCACATGGCACACTCATGAAAGCGTTTGCCGACAGCTTTGAGGAGAAGTCCGTTGTCTTCAAAATTCGCACGACGTTCGAGCCTGCGAGGAAGCTGAGAGTGATCCGGCATGGCGCTAGGACCCGCTTACCTCAGCGTCCTTGTTGGAGAGCAGGTAGGCATTCAAACATTGTTGCATTCCCTTCCCCCTAAACTTTGCCTTGAAGCACGCAGAACGAGGCCGGCGGGGATGTAGTCTGTCGTAAGGCTCAGAGCCAAGCACGTGTTGCCTCCCACCCAGATCGAGTCAGTCCGCATGAGGCAGCGACGGCTAGGGCAGGGGCAGGAACAGGAACAGGAACCAGGACGATGGGATTCACATGTGATCCAATTGGCGAATCATTGGCCCCGGAGCTTCCTGGCCGCGAGCAGGACCTGACGGAGCTGAGAGGGTACTTCCTTCTTGGTAGCGATTGATACTAAAGATAAGGTACCATGTAGACCCCACCCCCGGCCAAGGTAGGAGCGACCCGGTTTTGGCATTGCCCTCAATGATGTCAATGGGCGAAATGCAATCGAACTAGATCGTGACCGACGCGTCAAGTTTGTTGAGGGGGAATCAAGCCAGGCAGCCAAACAAAAACCTTCACACTTCTGCTTTTCAAGAACAACATCTCCTCTCAGTCATACGTTGGCAGTACATGACATGGTCGCACACTGCACCGAACAAAGGCGGTAGCGTCGGATTCCAAAGCCTCAGCTGATTCGACCAACCCAACAATCAGATCCGCGCTCGTTCTCTCTTGGCAACCCCCCCTCCAAGCCGGTAATGGCAAGCACCTAAAGCTTCTATTGCGCGCCCAAGAACTCGAAGCATGAGGTCGATCGTTACCTTCATACGCTCCTCAGTGGGCCATGTGAGATGGTTTCATTCTCAGCGGAAAGGCTTTGATGCCCTTTCAACACACCGATTGGCGAGCAAGCAATTCCGCACCGGGTTCTTCACCACCACCCCTCAAGACGAGGCTAAGAAGAAGACCCGAGGCATCCCTACTGTCCCCGCTGTTATTATCGCTGGCGGACTGTTCGTCTGGGCTCTCTATCCTTCCGAAGAATTCGACCAAATCTCGGAGGCTCAGACTTACCGCCGTGAGCGACAGCTCCAGCGAAAACGCGACAAAGAGAAGCTGGAAAGAGAGGAAGAGCAGGAGCGCCAAGACCGACAAGCAGCGAAGAACGGTTCGTCGGCCGCGTGGAACACATTCTCTTCCAGCTTTGAAGCTTTCTCCGATGCGGCTGATATAGAATGGTCTTCCCTCTCCGACCGAGTTGTTGGCTTTATCCTCCCGGAGTGGTCCAAGCAAATTCCTGGTTTCGTCCGCAAGCTGCAGCGTGAGTTGTCCTTGGCGCCTGGGTCTCTTGCCGATGAGATATGGCGTGACGCCCACGATCCCTTCATCAACCCCGAAATCCGCCATGAGGCGACTGTCCGCATCTCGACTGATCTCTGCGACGATGAGAAAGAGTTCCTCGCCCGGCGAAAGATGGTCACACGAGTTGCCCTGGCCAAGTATCTTGAGATTGACGAAAACGAAATTCATCCCGACGATGTCCCCGTTATTGCCATGTGCGGCTCTGGTGGGGGCTTACGAGCTCTGGTCGCTGGCTCTGGTTCTCTTCATGCAGCCGATCAAGACGGACTCTTCGACTGCGTCACCTACACTTCCGGTGTTTCCGGCTCCTGCTGGCTTCAGACCCTCTACTTCTCCTCCGTTGGCGGCCGCAGCTTCCCCCGCATCCTGGAGCATCTCAAGTCTCGTGCCGCCATCCACATCGCCTACCCACCCGTTGCCTTTCAGGCTATTGTCTCTGCTCCAACTAGCAAATACCTTTTGAGCGGCCTGGTGGAGAAGCTGCGCGGCGACCCTCAAGCTAGTTTTGGCCTTGTCGATATTTACGGTCTGCTTCTGGCCGCCCGATTTCTCGTTCCGAAGGGTGAACTTGAGGTCTGCGACAGTGACTTCAAGTTGAGCAACCAGCGCCAATATATCAAATATGGACAGAATCCCATGCCAATTTACACGGCAGTTCGCCACGAAATCCCAGGTATCGATGACAACGAGCCCATCGATAGCGTTGAGGCCGCCAAGGAGAAGGCCGCTCGAGAGGCATGGTTTCAGTGGTTTGAGATCACGCCGTATGAGTTCTTCTGCGAAGAATTCTCAGCAGGAATACCAACCTGGGCCCTTGGTCGTAAATTTAACAACGGTGTCGATGTACCTCCTGAAGAGGGCTTCCATCTGCCAGAGGTTCGCGTGCCGTTCCTCATGGGTGTCTTCGGCTCAGCTTTCTGCGCAACACTCAGCCACTACTACCGCGAAGTCCGACCCCTTGTTCAGTCTCTTTCGGGTTTCATGAACCTCGATGAGATCATCTCTGGTCGCTACAACAACGACCTCGAGAAGGTTCACCCCATTGACCCAGGGACTGTCGCCAACTTTGCCTACGGCATGCACGGCCGACTCCCTGACACCACTCCACCGAGCATCTATGATAATGAGTACATCCAGCTCATGGATGCTGGCATGAGCAACAACTTGCCCCTTTACCCTCTCATGCGCCCTGGACGTGGTGTTGAGGTTCTCATCGCGTTTGATGCCTCCGCTGATACGAAGATGGATAATTGGCTTGCCGTCGCAGATGGCTATGCTCGTCAACGCAAAATCAAAGGCTGGCCCGTCGGTATTGGCTGGCCCAAGCCTGGCGAGGCACCCGAAGAACTCACAAAAGAGCTTGAAAATGCCGAGGCTTCCGATTTGAAGGATGCCGACAGAAGGCTCAACGAAGCGCAGGTCGAACAGAAGAAAACCCCAGGCAAAAACACAACTGACGATCTGGGGTACTGTACCGTTTGGGTGGGAACGTCGCAGGAGCGGTCCACCAGCCCGCCTCCGCCATCCAGAGCTCTCGATGAATCGACGCACTGGCACATCTCTGAGCCGGACGCGGGGATCGCGGTTGTGTACTTGCCACTCCTCGGCAATCCAGAAGCCGTGCCAGGTGTCAGTCCTGGCGAGTCGGACTTCTTGTCGACCTGGAACTTTGTCTACACGCCCGAGCAGATTGACCAGGTCGTTGATCTAGCCCGCGCCAACTATGCACAAGGCCAAAGGCAAATTCGCGAGACGGTGAGGGCGGTCTATTTGCGGAAGAAGAAGCTCAGGGAGGCCAAGGAGAAAGAGCGAAAGTCAGAGCGATACCGGGGCCTCGTCAGACGGGGAATGGGGACGAGATTGGGCGAGGGCGATCAGTTCAGTTGAATGATCGCATGTTGTAATGGGCGGCATGTGAGAGTCAGATACCCGGTTGAGTGTGTAGCATTGTAGATTTAGTTAAAAAAAAAGTTGGTAAGGAAGATATGGTCGATTCAAAATGATATTGGCCAGGCTACGTAAGGGAGTTCGCAGGGGACATTGGGCAAATAGCACAGAACAAATGTTGTACAGATCTATACATCTACATCGACGTACACACCTGTCTCCTAGTGGTGGTAGTAATGTGAACAAAATATACACTGCCCATTTTTCAGGCACACCGGGGTTCCACAGCTACCCATCATGCCTCTTCCTTCTTTCCCCTTTTCTCATTTCCAAACAGGCTTCCAAACGCCTTCCCCTTTAAATAACCTCTCCCATGTCGATATGCACCGGCTGCCACGGCTTCGCGCCCTCACTCAGCATGTCGCTCGGCACCCTGCTCTTGGCGCCGGGGCTGTACAGGTACCACGCCTTCAACGCGTTCATGCTCGCCTTCAACCGCGCAAAGTCAAGGCTCGCGCCGGTGCCCTCGCCGAGCTTGTCCTGGCCGCTGTAGATACCGACAACGAAGACGGGCGTGCGGCTGTGCCGGCCCGTCTCGGACAGGAGGCGCGCGACGGGGGCTTCGAAGCCTTCGCGGGCGCACAGCATGGCGAGCTCGCGCGTGGGCAGCTTGAAGCTGAAGAGGCTCTCGAGATCGACGCGGCGGGCAAGGATGTGGGCGTCGACGAAGGAGCGGACGCTCTCGCGGCCGCCGTGGACGTAGAGGGCGCCGACGAGGGCGCGGACAAAGGCCGCGTTGGCGTTCTGGCGGATGTCGGCGCGGTCGGCGGAGGCGAGGTCGGCGGCCGAGGTCGCGTCGTGCGGGTTCCGCGTCGCCTTGTGGACCGTGTCGCCGAACTCGTCGTCGTAGACGATACGGGAGCTGGTGCCGCGGCGCCACTTGAACTTGTCAATGTGGGCTGCCTCCTTGCGGACATAGCCCCAGCGTGTGTGCACGACGCCGGCCTTGGGATCCAGGGAGTACTGCAGCAGGCCGGGGTCCACCTCTTCGCCGGGGGCGGCCGCCATCTCGACACCCCATTGTTGGGCAATCTTGGCGAGGGAGGCAGGGCCGGCGTAGGAGCGCATGGCCTCGAATAGGATGGCCATGGGCAGGCGGGGGTAGGCAACGACGAGACGCTCGGAGGTATGGTAGCTGATGAGGGAAGAACCGGTCAGGGCGAGGTTGGCATTGTTGAAGTGCGGGTTCGCATCGGCGGATGGGTCGACAAGACAACGGGCGAGAGTCTGGAGGGGGAGCTTTGAGGGGAGGGAGAGACGAGCATGGAGGGCGGCGAGCTTGGGGGAGGTGAGAGCTCGTGCCGGAAGCGGTGATGGCAGAGGTTTGTACTCGGGAATGTCGAGGTCGTCTACGGCAGCCTCGAGGGTGGATGGCGTCGCGCTGGTCGATTGTAACCGTGACTGCTGGAGGCGTGGTACGGCTGCGGCTGTCGCTGTCTTAAAGGAGGTCGAGATTGGGGTGTGGCAGGAAGGAATGGCAGCCCTCGTTTGAGCGCTGAGCAATTGCCCAGTGCATCGTAATGTCCGTACCCTCTTCATCTGTAATGATCGAAAGAAAGAAAACCGTGTTGTACAGGTGTAGAAGTGGGTTGCGGTGGGACGAATCGCTGGGTCGTCTGCTTCGTCGTTCGCCTCGTCACGAAAAAGTTTCCCGACTGACGAGACGAGTCGTAGAGTCGTGTGAGGTACAAGGGTCCCAGCGCTGGGATGCTTGGAGCTAGCTCGGGTTAACAGGTTCTCCGGGTTCCGCTTCTTCCGACCCGCCAGGAATCCAGCCGTGCATCACGACTTAAGGGCCAATCCACGAATTACGGCTTCGCCAATTGTCATTATCTACGAAATACCCCCATCAATTGAAGATACAGTCAAAATGGTAGGCACCAGAGATCCCCCATGATGCGACCTCGTTAACGTGTTTCACAGGGTGGCGGTCCGAAAGTCCCGTGAGTTCGATCGTCGACCCCCAACGTCGTTTCCTCGAAAACCCTCTAACCTCGTCTTCGAAGGTACCCCAAGCACGTCTGGTCGCCTGCCGGTGGCTGGTACACGCAACCTTCAAACTGGCGCGCCAACACGGCCGTGATGGGTCTTGTCATGTTCGGCGTCATGTGCGGTGTGTGGAAGATCAGCTCAGAGAAGGAGCACCGATACATCATGCCCAAGGAGGGCGCTTTCTTCCCCAGCAGATAGTAAGCCCTGTGATGTTCCTCACCATGATATCACTATGAGACTGACATTCGGTAGCTGGTCGAAGCAATTGATCGAGTACGACCAAGAACAAGCGGCGAAGAAGAAGGCGGCTGGCGAGGCAAGCTCATAGATTTCGAATTGGTGGCACCGTGGAGGAAATGTATACTTACGGCTCGCGAATGAGACGAACCTTGAATCAACTGAAACGATGCTTTCTATGTGGTTCATGTGCGGCATGTTTTCTTCCGGCGGATGAATATCTTCCTTCGAATGGTCCTGATCACACCTGGCAACACCATCTGCGCTGTCTGGGAGCCCTTCAACTTCCGCTTCGAAGTATCTAGCATGTACATCACTCTTGTCACGAAGGTAATTGGTATGCCGGTCTCATACCGTCAGCGTCGAATAGCATCAAGCGAAGGCACATTGCAATAAATGCTCATGGTGCAGGGAAGCAACTCATTTCCAAAGACAAGCGGCTAACCTCACAACAGACATTGCCAGGAAGGCATACCTCTCACGCCACGCACGGCCTTTCGACTGGTATATTCGCATCGTATCGTCGAAGCTATAGATACGCTGTCACCTTTGTTACTTCGGCCTCTCTGAATCCCTTCCAGGGTCCCGCTGAGTCTGAAGTTGGCCCGCTTGGGTTGGGCTGGTTACACGGACGTACACGTGTAACGCCACTCATTGGGCTCACTCGATTCCTTTCTTTTCGAAATACTGACGACCTTGCTGTCGCAGCTAATCAAAAATAGCTATTTGTGTAGACTCGGGCACCGAGGCCAAAGTGTTCGATGGTTTTCATCGTTCCTATCTCTTCCGCCAACATCTCTCAGATTGGAATCTTGATCGAGGCCTGCACTCTCTGTCTCGCATATGCTCATTATGATCTTTTTATGAGTGTTTGAATCGTTTGACATCAGTACTCTGCTCTTCCGTGTAGCCAACTTTCTGGCACGCCTAGTCATGCTCAGACTCGGGGGCAGCCTGGCCACGGCATGGCATAGTTGTAATATCGACGCCACTGCCTTGTTTCATCGCAGCACTAGTCGATATCAGACGGTCTCGGCAGGCATTGTAGCGAACCTCTGCAAAACCTCTTCAGTCATTGGGGTCCAGCATAACAAATGTCGCCACTGTCGGATTACGCGCGCTTCTTCGGCCGATTTCGATGCTTGCGAACTCGTGACCTGTCACGACGACCACGCGGCCCATGTGGGACAATGCAGGAAGGTTCAACAACGCTGCACACGAATGCTTTTTTGGCCCTGAGACCAACGAAGCCAGCTACCGATCAGTAGGATGCTAGGAATTCGTGCCTTGAACCCTGCTTGTCGAATGTGGCTGAGCGAAGAGCGCTGTTTTTCAGGCCCCGGTAGCCCGGAGCGGAATGAGAAATCTTGGTTAAAACCTCCGTTGGTAAGAGACCTAGCGTCACCAAATTCTGACTCAGTCTCCGAAAGTTCAGCCCACGATTTCTCCGCGGTGGGCTCTCGACAACCGATTGCGGCACTTGAGAGCCTCTTCCACGCAATTCAACCTGGCACTCATGGTTTGTAAGACTTATGTCACAGATTGATTAGATTAGATCGTGCCAACCTTTCGGCTGATTGACTTCATCTGTACTTGACAACCCCGCCAAGGAGGATCCTTGTCTGCAAAGGCAAGTTGCTTGCAGAAACGTCTAAACTTTATTGCACTCGAGATGAAGCGGTCCCGCCATAGTGGTTGAAGCCATGCACCTGGTTCGGGGCTTTGCCGATGCCACGAGGCTCCTGAGGTGTTCTGGTCCAGGCGTGGAGCCCTGAGTCGATTTTCGCTGCCATGGGCAGGAACCAGGCCATCGGGCTCTGTCTCTGGTCTAGCCTGGCGATTAAGTATAAAGGTGTGATAGATAGCTGGTCTAGGGGACTGCTTTATCGTCAAGGTTAGGCATCTCTCAGACCTTTTCTCTGCCCGTCTCGTCCGGTTCGTAGAGTTTCGAAAATGCACTCCTCACTTCTCCTGATCACGCAGCTAGCTGCTGTTGTCCTCGCTGGCGAACCATGGATCAACGAGGTCGACACTGGGCTCGAGACGTACCTTCTTGGCACCAACTACACAGAGGGAACACTGCCCCTTCTCAAGGATATTCGTGCCCTCCCCGACTTTGACTGGGCAGCCCGCCAGCACCTGAACGACCAAATGTACAGCTTCTACCGCACTGGCACGGCAGGCGAGCAAAGCTACCGTCATAACCTCGACATCTGGAAGTCTGTGCAATTCAGGTCAAGACACCTGAGCGACGTGACCAAGCTGAACGAGACTCTTGCCACCACGATTCTGGGCTACAACTTCAGCGCTCCTTTCTTCATTGCTCCCGCTGCCCGCGGCATCTATGGCGATCCCGAGCGTGCCGAGCTCAACTTTGTCGAAGCGGCTGGCAAGGAGAACATCCTGTACATCCCGTCCATGTACGCGTCGAAGACCATCGAGGAGATCGCCGCTGGAAAGTCCAACAGCACCCTCAACGGACCCCAGGTCATCTTCCAACAGATCTACACCAACGCCAATCTCTCGGTGACTTGGGACAACATTCGCCGGGCCGAGCGAACTGGTGCCAAGGCCATCGTCTTCACCATCGATGCTCCGGGCAATTCCGTCCGGCACCGTGCTGCTCGCTACGACACCACGAACGCCAACTCTGTCTCGTCGGCTCTGACATGGGATGTGTATGATCAGATGCGCAACCAGACCAGCCTGCCTATCATCCTCAAGGGTATCACCACTGCCGAGGATGCTCTGCTGGCTGTCGAGAAGGGCGCAAAGGCCATTTACATCTCCAACCACGGCGGTCGTCAGCTTGACCACACCCCTGGCCCCCTCGAGATCGCCTACGAGATCTACCGAAACGCTCCACAGGTCTTCCAGCAGGTGGACGTTCTCGCGGACAGTGGTATTCGCTACGGCAGCGATGTTCTGAAGCTGCTTGCCCTCGGTGTCAAAGCCGTGGGCATGGGTCGACCGTGAGTGCAAAACACATGTGGCCAATCATTGAAATAAGGCACTGACAAGGGCCGCAGGTTCATGTACTCGAACGTTTACGGCCTCGAGGGTGTTACCAAGGCCATCGACATCATGAGGACGGAGATTGTTCGCGATGGTGCCCAGCTGGGTGCCACGAACCTACAGAACATAAGCGCCAGCTTCGTAAGTCTTCTCCGCTTGCTTGCTCGAGATGGAAGCACGGCCTGACCAGATTATAGCTTAACACTCGTCAGTTGGAGTCAAACGTGTACTTGTTTGACCAGTAAGTTCTTATCATGTTTGGTGATGATTTATGAGCATGCAGCGAGGATAGGTAGATTTTGTTACACGCAAATACGTTCATTCAACCAGTCATGAACATCCAGTAGAACCGTCGCGAACCTACAATGCTTAAGTACCTAGGTTTGACTAGCTGCAGTGACACTCTATCTTGAAAGCTAGTTAAACATTCAAATGAGGCCTCTTCTGCTTACATCTTCTGTTTGCCAGTCCTAATGCAGTGCAACCAGATTCATGAAGCATCTTCTGATGCAGTAACGCGAGTCATACCAATCTGGACCCGACGAATCCGAAGAACGAGGATGCGAGAACACGACTACGAGAAAGTACGAGACTAGCGGCATTGCCGTTCTCCACCTCGGGTCGGGATCGCTCGCGTCTTGAATCGAACACGGCCTCATCCCATGTGCCTTTTGTGAAGCTTCGCCTCCCAAGCCCACGAGGCGCCCTGGCTCCCAGGCAGTCGTTGGTCTAGAAACGCATCCAGACTGTGCCGGGCCGGCATATCGGCAGCTCAATCATGGGTTTTCAATGGCAGCTCGGGTCCTGCCGACTGACTAGCACCCACATGCATTGGCAGACGCGAATCCCTTGACATGATGCAACCATGCTACAACCCAATTGCAAGACTAATGTAGCTCTAGAGCTTCCTCAGAGTCCAGCTGGCGTCTGAGACGGGACAGCTCCCTTCATAAGCCTGGCCATCCCGCTCGTCAATGTCATCGCTGTGTCCTTGTCAGCAACTCTTCATTACCCTCTGTCGGCGATAGGCAACACTGTCGAGCCATCACCTACACCTCATCATGTCTGGCGACGATAAACCACTACCCCCCTCACCAATGCCGCGACAGCCATCATTCTTTGCACCAGATGAAGCAGGCCCAGCCGACTACGAGGCGATATCAGAAGATGCGCCTCCACGATATTCCGAGCAGGCTGCCGCCGCCGAGCGTATACTCAACGACGCAGCAGGGGCAACTGGTATGATGTTTTCCAGGACACCGTGAGCCGTCTTCAGAACCCACTAACCACCCGTCGCAGCGGACGGACGTATTGACATCAACCTCGACTCGAAGCTTTGCAGAACTCTCTCGGTTCTCGTTCCTCGGAGAGAGTCGGTCCAGCCGAGGACTGACCGGCCCATCAGCGAACTTCCTCCTGCCTACACCGAGCAGATCGACTGGGGGATTCGATTGAATATCGTTATCCAGGTTGTCGGCAGCCGAGGCGATGTTCAGCCCTTCGTCGCCCTCGGCAACGAACTTCAGCGCCACGGCCACAGGGTTCGCCTCGCCACCCATGACACCTTTGCCGACTTTGTACGGAAATCTGGCTTGGAGTTCTACCCTATCGGTGGAGATCCGACAGAGCTCATGGCCTACATGGTCAAGAACCCCGGACTGATGCCTTCTATGAAGAGCCTGCGGGCTGGCGATATCCAGAAGAAGCGAACCATGATCGCTGAGATGCTGGAAGGCTGCTGGAGGTCGTGCATCGAACCGGACCCTTTGACGCAGCAGCCTTTCGTCGCTGATGCGATTATCGCGAACCCGCCGAGCTTCGCCCACGTCCATTGTGCTCAAGCTCTCGGCGTTCCGCTACACCTCATGTTCACCATGCCCTGGAGCAGCACGAAAGACTTCTGTCATCCACTGGCCAACATAAACGTCAACAACAGCAGCATATCACCAGCTGTTGCCAATCAGATCTCGTACATGGCGGTCGAGTGGATGACTTGGCAGGGGTAAGGGGCTCATATCCATCCGAAGCTGCATGAGAGACTGACTTGGAGATAGACTTGGCGACGTCATTAATGCGTGGAGGCAGACTCTGGACCTGGAGGATGTTCCCTTCTCTGAAGGCGCTGGCCTGCTTGAAACTCTGCAGATACCTTTCACGTATTGCTGGTCCCCGGCCCTCATCCCCAAACCCCTAGACTGGCCGAACTACATCGGTATGTATCCACAAACAGGAGTGTTCCAACCAGACCTGACCATGATAACAGATGTGTGTGGCTTCTTCTTCCGAGACGCTCCACAATACACTCCTGAGCCGGAACTTGACCAATTTCTACGCAGCGGACCTGCGCCTGTTTACATTGGCTTTGGCAGCATTGTCATTGACGACCCCGACAGACTGACGGCGATATTGGTGGAGGCCGTCAAGCAGACCGGTGTGCGTGCCATCATCTCCAGGGGTTGGAGCAAGCTCGGCGCCAACCAGCCCGCCGATAGCGACATCTTCTACCTCGGAGACTGTCCTCACGAGTGGCTGTTCCAGCATGTCACAGCCGTGGTGCACCACGGTGGAGCTGGGACAACGGCGTGCGGGTTGCTCAACGGGAAACCAACGGCCATCGTGCCGTTTTTCGGCGAGTGCGTATTGATGAGCCCCGAATCCACTCAAGGTCCGAGACACTGATGCAGTCTACCTAGCCAACCCTTTTGGGGCACCATGGTCAACGCCGCTGGCGCGGGGCCGATGCCCATCCCGCAAAGACAGCTCAACGCTCAAAATCTTGCCAGCGCCATCAATGATTGCTTGACGCCCGGCGCGCAGGCGGCTGCCCAGGTCATGGCCGACAAGATGCGCCAGGAGAACGGCGTGCGACAAGCCGTCAATTCCTTCCACGCCAACCTTCCTCTGGATAACATGCGATGCGACTTGCTGCCCGAGTTCGCCGCTGCTTGGTCTTATAAGAAAGACGCGCAGTATATGAAACTCTCCAAAGCCGCCGCGGAGGTCTTGACCGACAGCAAGAGAATCAAGTGGGCTGATCTCACACGGTAAGCGAGTATTGAACTGCGATTGATTGGGACTCTGCAGCTAACTTGTCCCAGCTACGAGCCTCGCCCCATTGACATTCAGCGCCGAAGGTGGGATCCAGTCACAGCCGTCACGTCATCAGCAATCAAAATGTATGCCGGCATGGCGACCTCGGCGGCAGACATTGTCGTCAAGCCCGTACAGGCGTTCACGTCAGACCGACCCGGCAGCAAGCGATCGAGCAGACAGTCGAGCCCGCACCCTGCGGACGATCCGTACGGCAGACCTGCAGGCCTGGATGTTCCCACGAGTAACGCCGAGGGCAAGAAGCCTGAAAGGAGTCGTGCCGTGGCTGCGCTTGCTGGCTCAGCCGGTGGCGTTGGCGGCTTCTTCAAGTCCTTTACGAAGGGCATCTATCTCGACATGCCGCACGCACTCGAGGAAGGCATGCGCGTCGCGCCACGTCTGTACGGGGGTGAGGTCTATGACCCAGGCGCCGTGACGGACTGGAAGTCAGGCGGCATCGCGGCGGGCAGGAACTTCAGTCACGGCATCGTCGAGGGCATTGGCGGCCTCGTCATGTCACCTGTGCGAGGTGCCAAGAAGGAGGGCGCCGTGGGTGCTGCCAAGGGCGTGGGCATTGGCGTGTTGAACCTGGGGACCAAGATGTCGTCGGGCGCGTTGGGTCTGCTCACATTTACGAGTCAGGGTGCGTACAAGAGCGTGCGGGCGTCGATGAGGAGGGATACCAGGAGGACGATCAAGCAAGCGAGGCAGACGGAGGGTGAAGCCATCATGCGGGAGGGCAAGCAGGTTCCTGACGCGGGAGCGGTGCTTAGGGCCTTTGAGCGACTCGCACTGCAGGCTCCGGAGGCGAAGGGGAAGCATTGGACAGATATTATGGCACCGAAATGATACCAGCATGGATGAGTCCCTGCAATAGAACAACTTTATTCTTCCGCTTGGACGTTCCCTCGAGGCCTCCATGCCTATCGCGGTACAGGCTTCCATAGAGGGGCCGCCGTAAGTCTAGACTGCCGATACAAGAAAAGGCAAACAAGAAAGACCGAATACCGTTTCCCTTCCGCAAGAGGTGGCTGAAGGGTAAACCGAGCGTCGATAAATGCTGCATCCATTGAACCTGTCGTATTCAACTCAAGCTACTTTAAACATAGATAGTTCACGACCCAGACTGACGAATCGGCCCTTCGTTCATGAACCAAGACCAGCCAGCCTCCTGAACGTCCAATTCTCCATTATCCTCAAGCCGCCCTGCAAAGTCGCAACGTCGTCGCCCCCAGCCTGCAGCTGCGCATCAAACTCCCCCATAGCCACCTCCGTCAAAAACCGCCCCAGCGGCTCCGTCGGACAATGCATCCACGTCGCCCCAAACCCGCTCATCAGCGCCGCCATGAGGGGTATCATCGGGCGATACAGCAAAGGCGGCCGGGGGACAAAAGGCAGAATCTCATCGTGCTGCGCTGCATCCACAAACCCGGCGCGAAACGAGTCCGTCCGAAGACGCGGCTCACGGAGGCGCAGCTCGGACAGCAACGTCTCCGCCTCTCCCTTGACGACGCCGTAGTAGGGCGTGAGAAACCCGGGGGTCTGTGTGGCGCCTCCGGCGGACACGTAGACGAAGCGAAACGGCTGGTCCGCCGACGCGAGGTTGGCGAACGCTTTGGCTGCGGCGAGGGGGTAGTTTTTCGTGATGGTCTCGTAGGCTCTGGGTGCCTGTCAGTCGTGTGTTCTCGCTGACGCGGCAATGATGCGCTTGGGGTGTACTCTTTGGAGGCCTGCGTCTGGCTGACGCCGAGGGCCCAGACTGCGCCGGTGGCACCCTGGAGCTTGTCCATGACCTCTGGTTCATACTGGGCAAAGTCTTTGTGGATGATGACTTGTACTCTAGGATCGTCTGAGTTTTGGGCCATGGGGACGGGTCGTCGACTGAGGATGGATATCTTCGTGATGGCGTCCGTCTTGAGCATGGCATCAAGGACACTGGTGCCGACAAGGCCTGTGGCCCCCGTGAGAATGAGGTGCATGGCTAGGTGTTGGGGTGTTGGAAGAATAGCATAGTAGAAAGATGCCCGGGTGGTGACTGCTGTTTGACAGTTGAGAGTCGTCGTGGTCCGTCTTGTGCTCGCGATACTTCCGGTGTTAGTAGCCCGGAGTTAAGAAAGCAAAGATAGATCTCCCAGGATCGGACTTTCGCTGCAACCGTACGTCAAGCAGGGGCTCCACTCATCATGAGCGGAATTGACGGAACTCTAGAGACTGGTGTGCCTTCTCAAGCCACAACATTTCGAGAACGATCAGTTGAGACATAGTGCTGATTCGCAATCTTGACACGGCTAACTGGCCATCAGCTTCAGGATCAAAGCGTCAAGTGACCGGGGTAAGAACAAGCAAATGATACAATCGTTTTCAAATTGAGTGGCCGAGTTGACTCTCTGGGTATCAAGCCCCCCTGAACGCCCGTCCAAACGCCAAAATAAGTGCCACATAGGATCGCGAATATACTCTCCAGACCCATGGCCTCATCAGTAGAACCGCGGTCCTCCCTTTCGACGATCACGGTTGTTGTTCCGCGAGTAGGGACCGCCACGACCACCGTCGTGTCTCCTTTCGCGATGCTGTTGTTGATGGTGCTGCTGCTGCTGCTGCTGGCGCTCAGCCTCGGGAATCGCCTCGACCCGGTCGATTTCAACATCGTCATACTCTTCGTGCAAGTACGAGTCCACAGCCTTCTTCTCGACCTTGGCCTGATCCATGTCGAAAACGAAGCGCATCGTGCCCTCGGTGCCGCGTGTGCTGCGCTTGACGGGAGGGTTGCTCCCCGGCGCCGAGCCCGTCGTGGCGGGCGAGCCGGGAGTGAAACTCGGGGTGAAGCTGGGGGTAATGGCGGGCGTGAAACCAGGCTGTGGCTCGTCCACCTTGCATTGCTCACACCAGACGAGGTAGCGGCTGACCTTGCGGCCCCTGTCGGCGCCATTCTCCTTGGTGCCCGTGTCCACTTCCGCCATGACCTTTCTCTTGATGTCGAAAAAGTGCTGCTCTTCGTACAGCGAGCCCACCTTTGTCGATTTGGGGTGCTGGGTGTAGAGGTCGAGGAGATCCAGCATCGTTTCGACAATGTCGGCGCGGGTAGTGTGCCAGTCGGACGGCTGGACCTTTTGCACCGCATCAATGTGTGCCCCTGTGACGAGCGCCGTGAGCTCAGTCACGGCCAGGGCCATTGTCCAGGTGGTCTGCTTGATCGGCGCAAAGGTCTTGTGTAGGTCGATGCCCATGTCGTACGTTGTCGCAAAAAACGCCTTTGTCGCCGAGGGGCCCAGGATCGTCTTGATCGCCTTGACAAAGTACTTTTGCGCGTACCGACTGCGAAAGTCGAAGCCGATCGTCTCCAGGATCAGACGCTCTAGTCCTATCACTATCTTGGACGGTTGTTCGAACATCTGGAGAAGGGCGGGGGGTGTGGTCAGCAGGCACGTCCAAAATAGAAGCGACTCCGAGGCGGTGCTTCACATGGGGTCATGGAGAAACGCCAAGAGCACCCCCCTAAACACCACACGCATACCTTGTCGTCCTGTGTGGTTGTGAACTCGGCATTCTTAATGTTGTACGCAGCACACAAGATCTCTTTTGATTTTTTGATGGTGTCCTCAACCTTGCAGGCTAAGAATAGGGAAGCGAGGGCGGCATCCTGGTAGTTGTACTCGGCATCCCTATGGCAGAGACGGAAAAGGTGGAAATAGAAGCACGCCGTATCGAAGGTGCGCACTGGCCTGCGCCGCATGTGTCAGGAAACTGTTTGCCAATCTGGACACGATTCTTCATGGGATCCTACAGGTGAAGGTACTCGCGGACATTGTCCAGCAGCTGCACGCCCTGCAGCCGGTACGTGTCTTCTCTGGCCGGTTCGCAGCCGTGCTCTTTCAACATACGCTGCAGCTTCTGTTCGAGGGTGAATAGACATGCGACCTGGACGTGACCAGGGTGCGGACCCTTGGGGGGTTCGGTATGATCGAGAGCGACGACGCCTTCGGGGATAGGTGGTTGAGGAGGTAGCTTGTCGGCATCTTTGGCGGTAGTCTGCGCCTGAGGGCCATTCGGAGCCATGCTGGGCAAGGCTATGGTAGCTTGACGCGTGTTGTATCGGCCGCGGTCGAGCATAGAGTGGCGCATACAAATTTGACTACGCTGTCGGGATTGTCGCGAGAAGGATGCGAAGATGTGAGGAGCGAAGACTCTCCCAGATATTGATGCAGTCCCTTGACTTGCCACTCGGCCGCTGTAGAACCGAGGGTCAGGACCTGAACTGGCCGCTGGTGGAATCCTTTCAGAGGTAACGCAGGGGGGGGGGGGGTAGCTAAGGATGTGTCGTGCTGGCGAGGTGAGGAAGTTGAGTATTGCCGACTTGTTGAAATAAAAGCCCGGCACAAGGCAAGGCTGGAGCTGGAGCTGTCGCGACTGAACGATGACAAAGTTGCAGGAGCATCTGCATCTCAGTGGAAAGGCTCCATGTGGAGAGCACATCACCTCATTGGCCAATCACATTCCCCAAGCTCCACCTGCTCCCTGGGCGCTCACTTCTATCATCCACGAAGTCATCTCGACAGTCTTGACAATCACGACATAACAGTGCATGGAAAGCAGTCATGTTGTTTGATCAAAAATTTGGTTGATTGTATGTCTTCACAGAAGACGACAGTGAAGCCGTAAATGATCTGGATTGCGAGCAAATAAAAAACATGGCTGTCAGGCCTTCACCCCCTCCTTTACTCCGTGCGATGCCCCCTAATTGTACATGCATCTCCTCATCGTGATAACCAGATGGTACGCCACGAATGACCGCGAAGTCCTCTTTACTGGTCCGGAATCGAGCTGGAGAACTCAGTGTGCTTATGCTGATCCGAAGCAAGCATCACTTCGTCATTGTACCGGGCTGAGAGAACCTTGGTCAACCATCATGCTCTGCAGTCGACGATCAATGGAATGCCAGGACGTACATACCATGGTGACATGATCTTGTGGTCGGCCTCTGCACCTACTGGCTGGCCTCGACCAGATCGAGAGCGGCATCCTCGAATGCGTCACGCGGAATAACGGGGACATCAGGCGCCGCGGTGTTCGGAGGCAGAGTGGGCAGATTTAAAGGGAGATACGGACGGGCCAGGACCACGGCCGGGAGGATGGCAACGAGAAGAGTAGCGAAGTGCATGTTGATTGTCCTGAGGGGGAGAAAAAAAATCCGTTGATCGTTGCTGATCTTTCTTGCTGATCGAACAGTGGCTGATGAAGTCTTGATATCGTAATGGTCAAGCAAAAGCAGTCATGTTATCGCAGGGCATGGGTTGCCAAGAAAAAGGGTGGACGGCCTCCCATACTTATGGTGAGGTGAGTCTCTCGCCTCGCAGAAGGGGGCCGCCTGAATCGGCACCTGATGCCGTGCGTGCGGGCGCGCTCACCAGTTCAGCGTCGATGGCTTCTGACGTGGTAGTCGTCTGAACTGTGAAACGATGCTTCCATGGTGGATGTTGCAGCATCCGTTTCAGGAGCCACGAAGGGTTCGCCGCGGCTTCGACCCTGCAGGCCAAAAACGGGACGTTTCCCTGACCATGGTGCGAAGATCAGCAGATCGCGTTAGCATCTCCGGACTTGGCTACGCTATGCGAAGCGGACATCGTGAAGCAGACGTCCAAGGTGGGAAGAACGATGCCAATTCTGACGAACGTGGGATGCACCATGGCACGCCCGCATGGACATTTCCATCTCGAGTCGAGGTAAGGTGACTACGTACGTACATGTACGTATAGAGTTGGGGTAAAGGGCCGTGCATACCGCGTTCCCATTCCTGCGAGTCCCACTGTTTCGCCGGGCTACGTGCCGGTGCTTGTGGCCGACATGCCGCGAGTGGAGCCTGGAGGAAGCGGACCATCATATCGCCGATGCCAAGCGCCTTGTCCTGGACGCGGCCAATGGGAAGCTCGGCTTGCCACAGCGAAGCTTGGCTTGCCACAGCTCGAAGTTGCCTGCCTGCCTGCCTGCTTGGCTTCCTATCCAGGGCCGTTGGCTTGCGTCACCTTGGTCTTGAACACAGCATGATCATCAACATCACCCACAAGGACTCTGCTGTCCACACTTACTACGCGCCACCACGATGAAGTCGATTCTTCCCTACAGCCTGCTTGCCCTGGGTCGCCTGGTCACGGCATCCAAGCAGAGCCCTGCAGCTGTCGCCGTCGCTGCCGCCGATGTCGACGATGACACGCCTCTTCCCCTCATCATCTGGCATGGCCTAGGCGATTCGTTCGACGGTGAGGGCATCCAGCAGGTCGCTGAGCTGGCCGATGCCGCCTTCCCCGGCATCTATGTTCACATCGTCAAGGTTGGCGCCGACCCCAACGCTGACCGTTCGGCTACCTTCTTTGGCAACGTCTCGACCCAGCTCGAGCAGGTCTGCGCCGACATCGCCGCCGACCCCATCCTCTCCTCGGCCCCGGCCGTCGACGCCATCGGCTTCTCCCAGGGCGGCCAGTTCCTTCGCGGCTACGTCGAGCGCTGCAACGCGCCCCCCGTCCGCTCCCTCATCACCTACGGCAGCCAGCACAACGGCATCGTCAGCTTCCGTGCCTGCAAGGACGGCGACCTCCTCTGCAAGGGCGCCATGGCCCTGCTGCGCTTCAACCAGTGGTCCTCCTTTGTCCAGAACCGCCTCGTCCCCGCCCAGTACTACCGCGACCCGGCCCCCGCCGAGTATGAAAAGTACATCGAGTCGTCCAACTTTCTCGCCGACATCAACAACGAGCGCGCCACCAAGAACGACGCCTACGCCGAGAACGTCGCCCGCCTCGTCAACTTTGTCATGATCATGTTCGAGCACGACACGACCGTCATCCCCAAGGAGACGTCGTGGTTCGAGGAGGTCAACGGCACCGAGAGCCTGCCGCTGCGCGCGCGCAAGCTGTACACCGAGGACTGGATCGGCCTGCGCGCCCTCGACCGCAAGGGCGGCCTCAAGTTCAGGAAGGTGCCCGGCGAACACATGCAGTTCACCAACGAGCAACTCAACGCCACGATGCACGAGTTCCTCGGCCCGGCTTCCAAGAAGTTTGCCGCCGAGGCGCCCGAGCTGCCTCTGGAAGACGCGTGGTCTCAGGAGCTGTAATGATGAGACGATGTGTCACGAGTGATAGCATACGAAGATTGGATGAATTTTGCTTTTTTAGGGTTTAGGTTTTGGGTGAATTGAACATTGTATTCTGCCACGTCTCTGCTCTCTACATTGCTTGTGACCGAGACAAAAGCCCCCTTACAAAAAAAAAGGACCAACTCCATACGCCTGCATTCATGCATGGTACATACACAAGTCCACCGCCCAGCGCTCTTACTTTTGTTGTCTCCTATGCTTTAGTTCTCGAGCGCCGCCTTGGCCTTGGCCTTCTGCTTCTTCAGCTTCTCCTTGCGCTCCGCAATCTGCGCGTCGAGCTTGCCGTCGTCCGCCTCGGGCACCGCCTCCGCGGTCTCCTTCTTGGACTTCTTGCCGCCGGCCGCCTGGCCGTCCTCGCCGGCCGCGAGGGCCGACTTGCGCTTCTTGCCGACGTTGGCCTTCTGCGCCTCGAGGGCGGCCTGCTTCTCGGCCTCGGTCGCGTCGGCGACGACGTCCTTGTCGTCGATGAAGAGCTCGTCCGCAGCCCAGATGGGCAGCGCCACCGTCTCGGGGCCCTTGATGTAGATGCCGCGCACGTTCTTCCACTTCTGCGGCACGAAGCGCTCGACGAGGCCGGCCGTCAGGGCGTTGACATTGTCGGCCACCTGCTGCGCCGTCATGGCGGCCGTGCCAATCTTGACGGCCGTGTTGGTCGACGGCGTCAGGCTGACGTACGCCGCGCTCAGCGCCTTCTCGACCTGCTCGGCAATGTAGGCCGGCGTGCCGGGGTTGACGTTGGCCTCCGACGTCTTGGGCCGCGCCGCCTTCTTGCCGTCGGCCGCGGGCTTCTTCCCCTGCACGGCGACGGGGATGGGGCGCTTGGCGGTGGACTTGTAGAAGGTCTTGCCGAGGGCCTGCGCGCGCGGGGGGCCGTTAGCGTTCCTGTGCTGGCGGGACATTCTCCTACCATGTAGGTTTTGCCGTCGCACGGCGTGCGGCAAAGCGAAGGGGGGAGCCTCGCTTACCTTGGGCAGCCTCGTGACGATGCGCTCGTCGCCGAGGAAAATGTCGTGCTCGGCGTAGAGCTTCCGTTGCGCCTCGTACTGGGAGAACTTCTTCTGCAGGTGGTTGATGTCGATGACGCGGGTGATGCGCTTGCGCAGGGCCGCGGGGAAGGCCTCGTCGTCGACGGCGTCCTTGTAGGCGCGCTGGGGCGAGGCGACGATGAGGCAGATGGTCGAGTCCTCGGCGTGCAAGCTGTGCGGCACGGGCACGCGGCCGGGCTTGAGCTTGTTCGTGTCGGCAATGTGGCGCTTCGTCGTCAGCGTCAGCCAGATGGGCGTCTGGGCGGCCACATCGTCCTCGTCCTCGAGGAGCTTCTTCTTGTCCGAGTTCTGCGCCGACTCGGTCGCTGACTTTTGAATGTGGGCGAGGAGAGCCTTGGAGGCCTTGAGGGTCTGCACCATTCACGTTAGACACTGGGTACGTTGGCTGGTGGAGGACATCGCGGTGAGGGTCTTAATGTACCTGCTCAGGGTCAATGGTGACGGCAGAGGTCTGCGACCGCGTCGCGATTTCCTTGGTAGCGGCCATTGTGTCGATTTGGAGTTGAACGGAGTCGGTGACTTGGAAGGTGCCCGTCCAAATAGGTGGTGGTTGGATATGGCGGGGACTTTTCTTCGCAAAAGCTTCGTTCAGTCGTCCAGATTTTTTTCCGGCAGGGGTCTTGGACTGCCGATAAGGTAGTAGATCGGGCCCGATAAGTGCACGGTCCACTTTTGGTCGCTTGACCGACAGTGGTTCTCGGTGGAGATCTTGACCGAAGCAGACATCACCAATGACCTAGCATGGAGTTGTTGGTGTTGAGGTGGTCCAGACTTTGTGTTATGTGTCTTTGGTGTGCATGGAAATAGTTATGCCTCTACTGTCTCCTTACTTGCTTTTCGCAATTCCATTCCGACACGAGAACACGATCCCGTTGCGCGGCCTCTATCCCATGCAGCGCCCTTGCGTGAATTGGCGTTGGCCGGTCCTTTTTCTTTGGCCACGCAAGGTCCATCGTGTCCAAATTCCTTCCTGCTTTCTGATCAGTCACATGGCCGTGTCATCACGCCCCAGAACCGCCCTGCCCAACCTTGCGTCTCACTCGTTCAGAGTGCAAGCTGCAAGTTAGGACGCGGCGCACGGAGCGGGCCAGCGAACCACTGGCAGCAACGCCGCTGACAGCACTCATCCGCCATTGGGCATCCAAAGACAGAGGCAGGTTAGATCAGCAGGAAGAGGGGGCACGAGCAGGCCTCAGATGCGTTCGGCGAGGAGTCGCGTTCTGGAGACAGGGACGCCCAGAAGTGGCATAGCGGAGTGCCCATGCAGGCTGGGGGGAGGGTCATTTTGATTTTCACATTTTCGGGGGGGCAGAAAGCCTTCACACAAGGGAAAGCAAGCGTCATGACATTGGTTGGCCCGCGACGATTCGTTACTGCGCCAGCCCGCCGTTCCTGGCTGGGCCAGTGGGGGGAGGCAAGACGTGATGGGATCATATGAGACCGACCAGGCTTCATCCCAGAGGGAGGGGACGTCAGTGAGCACATCTAGACACGCCTGAGGGAGAAGAAGGGGAAAGGTCAGATTTGCACACGACCAGACACACATCTGACAGCCGACTGTGGAAATTATCGGTTGTGCAAATCAGCAGCGGCGCAACGAGACAAGACAGGACTGGCCTGCCGCTGCTTTGGGGGGGGGGGAGACGGGCATAAAATATGTTGCGGCTAATTAGCTTCTGTCTGGGTTGGGACTTGGCCGCGGAGAGTGAAGCGAGAAGCAAATCCATGGAGAGGAAAAAGGCACCTGCTTGACATGGAAGGCGCGCACTGGTAGAGCGGAGTAGGAGCGTGTTGGTGGAGACGTGTATTTGGGAGGCTGGCACTCTGGGGGGGGGACCGGCCGCTGGAGGGGTATGGCGGGCATTTGTCGACGCGCCGCCGTGCTTGACGGAGCATCGACGATGGCGCCGGCGAAAATTGGGAAGCGAAACTGAGGGATGCAGTTACAGACTATTGGGAGCAACTTCGACACCGTTTCTTTCACTTGAGGCTCAATATCTAGAGGGCTATGAGGCTATGAGGAAGGAGGGAGGAGGGAGGGTAGATATTGAATCCACTTTCTGGCTTGTGGCTCGTAGCTCGTAGCTCGTAGCTTGTTGCTCGTGCTCGTGGCTCCGTGGACGTGACAACCCACCGACGTCACGCCTGGAGACCCCTGTAAGAGGTGCCCTGAGAATGCTCGATCCAGGCGTTGGATGCCCTGGAGAAGATCTCGTTACAGCGCACTTACAGCGCACCCCAGCCCGATCCAGCGCGTCTCGACGGACGTGTCAGTGCCCACCTTTAAACGCCAACGCGATGCGGCCGCGTCTCAGACCGCAGCAGCAGAACACGACCACGAACCGTGACGCTCCTCTCTCATCCGGCCCCCCCAAGGCTAGGCCCAGATCAAAAAGGCCCAGTCCCGCACCACCACATTCGCCTGGCCTCTTTCCACCCGACCTGCAACCACTTCTTGAAGAAACACGAGCAGAAACCAATAACCCCTCCTTTCCTTGGAAACTCAATAGTCCTCGTCCGGTCACAGAAACCTCGAATCTTCCCTCGACTACTCAAAGTTCCTGCATATCGAATCCCATCGACTGGTCACCGCACCAACACTTACACGACTGGGCAACACGCGAGCCACGTCCACGTCTGATATTGAGCCTCCACACGCGAAGACGCGCTATATCACGACACTTTCAGAGGGAATCACGTCGAGATTCCCTCCGCCAATCTTCTACAACACCCTACACCATTCACACATCGACTGGTCGCGTCCACAATGAACTCGTCGCCGCCTCGGAGAACCATCGAGCCTGTGCTCCCTGTCGCCGGCGTCAAGCGTCCTGCACCAACCCTTCTGCCACCGTTCGAGCCTCTTTCCTCCTCACCAGGCTTCCCTCGGCCGCTTAAGAGGCAGGCACGAGACGCCTCCGTTGGAGGTGCCGGTGCTCACCTCAAGTATCCCACGCCTGTGCCCACGTCCAGCACCGGCATCCTCTCGTCCTCGCCGCCGCGTGTCGCCCGCTGTCCGAGCATTGCACGTCCCGGCTCCTCCTCTGCCGAACGTGCCCCTCTCGCCTCTGTTCCCTCGATCGAGCTCAACGACAATGGCGAGACGCTCCTCATGGGCCGCTCCAGCAACTCTTCCCACTACCAGCTCTCCGACAACCGTCTCGTGTCACGCGTGCACGTCAAGGCCCGCTACGTGCCTGCCGCCTCGCCTCTACACCCCAACAAGATTGAGATTGTGTGCAATGGCTGGAACGGACTGAAGCTGCACTGCCAGGGCCGCACGTGGGAGCTCCTCAAGGGAGACTCGTTTACATCGGAGACGGAGGGCACCGAGATCATGGTGGACGTGCACGATGCTCGCCTCATGATCCAATGGCCCAAGAAGGACCTCCGCGATGCCCTCGGCAATCTCTCCGACTCGTCTTGGGAGGACTCGCCGCGTCCCCAGGCCCGCGGCGTTGCCGCTCTTCAGTCGAGCCCGATTCGCCGCGCGCCGCGTATCGAGACACCCGAGTCTCCTACACCGGCCACCACCAACACATCCTCGCAGCGCCTCCAGTCTCTGCTGCCCGCGAGCGCGAGCGACGAAATCCGGATCTTCGAGGACTTCAGCGCCGAGGATGACTTGCCCAAGCACGGCGAGCCTGGTCCGGACGTTGGCCAGAGCTTCATGACCGAGGTGACCAACTCGTTCTCGTCCGACCTCAGCGACCCTGACGATGACGAGAACCCCGATGAGGAGAACGACCCCGTTGTCCACTCGTTCGGTCCCTTTGGCGCCAACATCTCCAATCGTCTCGCCTCGATCACCACATGCTCTCCCAAGCCCACGACGCCCAAGCGCGCGCCGCGGCCACACCAGCTTCCTCTCGCCTCGTCCCCCATCCTCGCCAAGGTGAAGGAGGAGGAGGTCGAGCCGTCTCCCAAGCGCGAGCCCTCGCCTGCACCAGCGATCGAGAACCCCACGGTCAAGAACCACGTCGTCAACCAGCTCGCCTTCTCCCGTCTCTCGTCCACGCCCCTGTCTGCCATTATGAACGCGCTGCCCGCCGAGGAGAAGCGTGGCCTCACGAAGAGCACGCTGCGTTCCATCATCGAGGGCACCGTCTGCATTGGCGTCATCTCGCGCCAGGGCAAGGATGCCGCCGGCCAAGCCCTCGAGAGCGAGTACTACTACATGCCCGAGGGTGACGACGACGAGCAGCGGAGGCTCGCCGTCACCGATGGCCTGCGCAAGCCGAGTCTGCGGGCGTGCAGGAAACAGCACAAGGTACGTTCCGTTTACCCCTTATACCTGGCTTCTAATGCACACGATGTCTAACCATGGAAATAGCAATACTACTGGAAGCGCCCCCGAACTCCGTGATCGCTTATACCTTGTCTACACCTCGACCTCTTCCCGTGTCTATACTTTTTCTTGGCCCGCTATCCCCTTGTCACATAGCTGCATAGCGAACGGCGTCTTGTCTTGTTTTGTAGTCGGAGCCCCAGATGGGGTTATTATTTTCTTCCCCTATCGTCATGAAGGTCCTAATGACCTTGTCATCTGTATAGGTCCGGGTGGTCTTTACCTGTCCTTCTTGGTTTGTTTTGGTGTCGGTGTCGGGGAGGAAGGAAGTATACCCCCGTCATGTCATGGCCAGCGAGGCTGGCGTCGGAGGCTGGACGGAAGGAAGCATGGGATGGAGTATGGAGGGCAAGCCCGTGTATTAGATAGCGAGTTGGTGTCTGACGTTGACTCGGGTGAATTGAAGTGTTCAACGGCAAGTACTCAAGCCTCCATGTGACATGTCAATTATAGAGAGAGCTTTGTTCGGGGCATCGAGATCCCCGGATGACCTGTGCACACCACCAACACCAAGACATGACGTTGAACCTCCGCGCTCACACCCGATGCAACCACACGAGCGGAGCGTCCTGTCGCGCGTTCCATCCCACCACCAAATTGTGACAAATGCACTGCAAAGGCTCGCCGCCAGCATCAGCCAGCATCTTCCAGCCTGCCTGCCTGCCAGCCCGAGGTGAACATGCTGGTACAGCCCCATCACACGACAGAGAGGCAACGCTACCCCGAATGCGGGCAACTGCATCGTACCATGCCCCCATCCCCCGCACCACATCTCACCACTGCCAGTCATCGGAACCGTCAGGGTCACGACACCTGAATGTCAAGCGTCGTACCGTTTCCTGCCTTTCCCTCTCGTAGGCCCCCGAGACCCTCTCACCTCCGGGACCTGCTAGCCTGTAAAGTACCCGGGGGCACGGATGGCTGCTCAGTGTTCAGCTACCTAGGTACCTTAACCTGGTGAGTAAGGTAGGCACCTTAGGCACCTAGGTACACAAGACAGGCAGAGTTACCGGGCCATTCGCACGCATTCCTCCAGCACCCCCTCAGTCCTGCAGTGTCAGGCAACGCGGGCTGTCAGGCAACCAGCCCGCGTTGCCTCTACCGAAGGTCCGACCCCGCAACAGCATGCCTAGACCCAAGCCACGCGAGAAGGAGGGGGAAAGGACCCCGAGTGTGCTCACCTCATTCTGCACCGCATGTCAGTCTAGGGTCTCGCGATCGGCAGCACGCCGGGGCGGGCGGCAACGAACGCGCCCCAGCGGGTACCTAGGTAAGGTAGGCAGGAGAAGGAGCGAAACGCCCCCCGATCGGAGACGTGGGCAGGTGCAACCCGTGATATGGCGGGGGAGGCAGTCCTACGCTTAGGTATATGAAGGAGGCAACATCCCCATTAGGCAGGCACATCTTGACAATGAACACAAATCCTACCAACATCTGTACCTACCTACACAAACATCACCTACAAGAATCACCTACATCATCCACACATACCCAAGTCATATACACCCGCAACCGGGACAGAACAGACACCACCTACCATTGGAACCAAAAACCGCGACAAACATGTCGGCACCAACCTCCCTCAACACCACCGTCCCCGTCGCGCAGAGCCAGCAGTCGCCCCACGCCGCCGCCGAGGCCGCCCGCGCCATGGAGCACACAAACAGCTGGACGCCGCCTGCCTTTGAGCGCCGCCAGAGCTGGAAGCAGGAGGACCAGAAGCGCGAGCTGCAGATGAGCCACATCAACGAGCGCGTCAAGACGGGGCCCGGCTTCACGGAGCGGACGTAATTCTGTTTCCGCCCATTGTTGACCATTTGTATATTCCCTGCATCAGACCGAGGGCGAGCGGGACTGCGAGACTGGAAAAAAAATGGAGATCCAGGGTCTGGTCAGGAATCCGGCGTTCATGGCGTGGTATGGCCTCGAGCAACACAAGACTGTCACTATGCAGGTAGCTCCAGGAGGCACAGCATCTCGATTCGAGTAACAGATCCAAAAATTGATTCAAAATGATTCCTACCCTATCCTATGCTGCCTGCCTGCCTAGATGCGCTGTTGTGGCCATAGCCAAAAGAGTGAGAGCGAGAACGCCGAGTAGATGATGGTGCGTCGCTTGGCGAGCCCCTAATCATACAGGTTGATGAAGGGTGACACTAGCCCAACTTCGATGCAAACCATAAAGCAGTTCGAATCAGAAAATAAATAGCGGTGTCATGCCGCATCAAAACGGTCCCAGTCTCAGTCGTGTGGTATCAGAAAAAGATTTGCAAACCAATCCTGCCCAGTGCCATGTAGCAAAAATAAAGGAAGAAAACAAAACAATGAAATAGATCGAGTCTCGTTCACGGTCCATGCCTTTGAACGGCTTCAGAGACGACCCCCTGGGCCCTTCCCGTCAGCACCGCCTGTTCTGAAGTACTGGCCAACGGTGCCGAAAGCATACGAGATGCCTCCGACCCACGCGGCACCCAACAGCACCTTCTTGGTCTTGCCGGCCCTCTTTGGCTCCTCGTCTGCTGCAAACCCGCTGGCAGCAGGGCCCGCGCCTGATGCGCCGTAGCCTCCTCGGTAAGGCGGGGGTGGCTTCTGGTCCACCTCGGCACTGTCATCTTCAAAGTTCACGAACCCTGTCGGGCTCGCCGAGTATGAGTGTGGGGTGACGGGCTGGCTGCCCATCATGTCAATGGGGTTCACCCTTGGGGGCTGGTATCTCGTGGCCTGTTCCGTAGTCGAATGGGTGCTGATCGTCCCTTGCTGGGCGTTGCGGACCTTGCGAAATACAAGGACGTCTCCGTTCCCAGAGACGATCTCGTACCCCTGCGCCTGAAGTGGTGCCAGGTGCGGGAAGAACTTGACGGGATTGGACAGACGCATCATTGCCTCCGGTGGTGTCAGTGGGACAGAGCTGTCTATGGCAAGCGACGACGTCTCAGCAGTGCTAATGGAATTGGTCGTCGGATCGAAGGCCAAAATCTTGTAGTATGATGGCTCAGGAGCCGCCTCCTTGGCAGGCTCAGCTGCCTTGGAGGCTGCCTTGGCCTGTGTTGCGGCAGCTGAGACAGCGTCGCTCACTGTTCCATAGGTTCTGACAAAAGTAGGACCAGTAGCCTTGCCGCCGCATTCCTGCAGATAGCTGAGCTCTAGTCCTTGAGGCTCTGTAGAGTATGGATCTGCGAGTGTGCGCAGTCGATCGGCCCGCTTCTGGCTGTCAAGGAGAGACGACCCACGGTTCAACGCTGGCTCGATTTTGTGCAGAGCTGGAGTGAACACTTGGGGTTCTATGGTAGACTCAAGCTTGGGAAAACTCTCGTCAAAGGATGCAATATCCTCATCGCCTTGCTCCGGCTCCCGCGTGCCATTCTCGAGCTTCTTTTGATATTCCATTGCGGCAGCATTTTGCCCAAGCATCGCGCTCCAAGAGACGGCGAAATCCTCAGGGAAGTCCTTCACATAGTTGCCGGTGACGTTTTGGGTCGCGTCACTCGAGTCCTGCGACTTTATCTTGGACTGCTTGAGGGTGGTCTTGGCTGCCTTGTTCGCATTCTCCCATTCCAGACCATGGCGTGAATTGTCTCTTTCCAGTGATTCCGTGTCCAGGGCAACGCGCTTCTTTTGAGTTGCACTCGCAGACTGCAATGACTTGGCACGCACATCGCTTGCGCGCAGCAGATCAAGATCCTCTGCCTTGCCGTCGGGCTCATTGTAACGGAAAGCTCCGTAGTTGAATGGATCTTCTGTTACAGCGGAATTGTTTTGCTGCGCTGGAGGTTTGCCATCGGGCTCATTGTGCTGGAATGGCTCGGAGTAGTCGGAGAGGTCCTTGTACCGCTTGCTGTCTTCTTCGGGGTCCATAGGAGGTTGCCCGTTGGGCTCGTTCCAGCGGACTGGCTTGTATTGGTCGAGATCGTTATATTCCTTGCTGGCTTCCTCTGGAGTAATGGCGGGCTTGCCGTCAGGTTCGTTGTGAGCAAAAGGCCTGTCATATTGGTCCAAGTCATCATACTGCTTACTCGCTTCTTCACGGCTCATGGATGGCTTGCCATCTGGCTCGTTCCACAGAATTGGCTGATAACTGTCGACGTCATCGTATTGTTTGCTGGCCTCTTCAGCGGTCATTGCTGGTCTGCCGTCGGGCTCGTTCCACCGAACAGGCTGATAAGCATTCAAGTCCGCGTACCGCTTCGACAGTTCCTCTGGGGTAAGGGGAAGGTTTCCGTCGGGCTCGTTCCACTGAACCGGTCCATACTGATCAAGGTCTCGATACTTCTTCGAGCGCTCTTCAGCTGACATGGGGAGCTTGCCGTTCGGTTCGTTCCACATGATGGGCTGACCATATGCGTCCAAGTCTGTGTAGTGCTTAGATCGCTCCTCAACAGTTGGTGGCAATTGGCCATTGGGCTCGTTCCACATGACAGGCCCGTAGCTGTCGAGATCGGCGTAGAATTTCGACTGCTCTTCGGCACTCAGCGGAAGTTTTCCGTTGGGTTCATTCCAATAGACGGGACCATACTTGTGCAGGTCATCGTACTGCTTAGAAAGTTCTTCGGATGTTGGTGGCAGTTTGCCATTGGGCTCGTTAAACAGCACGGGCTGATATTGGTCGAGGTCGGTGTACTGCTTCGAGACCTCTTCAGCCGAAGGAGGGAGTTTACCATCTGGTTCATTGAATCGTATTGGGCCGTATTCGCCCAGGTCCGTGTATTCCTTTGAAAGCTCCTCGGGGGTGGGCGGGAGTTTCCCGTTGGGTTCGTTGAATCGCACAGCATGGTAGTTATCCAGATCTGTGTACTGCTTTGAGAGCTCTTCTTGGGTGGGCGGAAGCTTCCCATTGGGTTCGTTGAACCGCACAGCACGATACCCGTTCAGATCTGTGTACTGTTTGGAGAGCTCTTCTTGGGTGAGCGGCGGCTTCCCATCAGGCTCATTGAATCGCACGGGACGGTAGTCATCAAGATCCGTGTATTGCTTGGAAAGCTCCTCGGGGGTGAGCGGGGGCTTTCCGTGGGGTTCATTGAAATGCACGGCACGGTACGCGTTAAGATCCGTGTATTGCTTGGAAAGCTCTTCCTGTGTGGGCGGCAATTTCCCACTTGGCTCGTTGTAACGCATAGGCTGATAAGTGTCCAGGTCGGAATATTGTTTAGATACTTCATCTGCAGAGGGTGGAAGGTTGCCATTCGGCTCGTTAAAGCTGATAGGGTGGTATTTGTCCAGATCTGAGTAATGTTTCGACTTCTCTTCGGAAGATGGCGGGGCCTCCTGATTGGGTTCCCTCCATGCGACAGGGACGTACTTGTGAAGGTCGTTATACTTTTGAGTGCCCTCGGTCGGCGCAGGTGCCGAGGACGCGGAGTTGTGGACATCAACGGGGCCGTATTTGTGGAGATCGTTGTATTTCGGCTCGACATCGTGAGCGGTATCCACCTGATCAACGAGCGGTTTATATTTGTGGAGATCGTCGTACTTCTGCGCTGTACTGGCGTTGGCTGGGGCAGAACTGCTCAGGACGGGCTTGTACTCGTTGAGATCGGAGTACTTGTTGGACCTCAGCTGAACGGTAACCCATGGTTGATCGTCAATCTCGACCTGGCGGTATTTACGCAGCTCCTGGGCCGATGGTGGGCCATCCGAATGCACTGGTGTGCTGAGGAAACTAGCCTTCAGGGCTTTGGCGAGGGTCGTGTTGCGTTCAGTGTACGTAGGGATCCTACGATTGGTGATGGGGTCAATTGGAGCGTAGGGACTTGTCAATGATGGTGTCGGATCGTTGCCAGACCCTCGACTTGTGAGGTGGGTGCGGACCTGTCCGCGGTGTAATAAGGCTGTCAGGGCACGGGTGGTGGATGTAGATGAGGCACTTTGGAGAAGCTTGGCTCGAGCCGAGGCAGAGGTTGCAGTTGTCGTCAACATGGTGAAGACGAGCTACGGCAGTCTATATCATGCTAATAACTGAGAGAAGAAGAAGTGAGCAGACACGAACTCTGTTTAAACCTCTGGAAAGAGTCGGGGAGCATGCGACATTTGTTCTCTCTGAGGCCTGGTACAAGTGCGGAGAAATCAGGAATGACGAAGGTGGCAGCCCGTGCTTTACATGGGTGATTCAAGGCACGCAAAGGCCAGGGTGCGGTAGATAGACCAGGGTCGAGTGTGAAAGTGAGACGACTTACATGGGGATGTGGGAAGATCACCGGCGCTCGTGTGATGATGGATGCGAGAGCATGAAGGAATGATTAGAAGGTGAGAAAGATTGAAATACCAGGTCAAGTACTGGAGAAGTAAAGACAAAGGAAACCAGCTGTTGCTTCCTTCTTCGGCTCAACGAGCTCGAGGTCAGGCGCTTTGGGGGCGCGCGCACCTGGGGAAGTGGCCGAATGGAGGTGCCTGCCTGCGAGCCGGATGAGGTCGGGCGAATGCGAGGCCTCATTGCCGCCATTGCCCGCGATAAGACACGCTAATCGGAGATTCGGCCAATGGGCGACGTGGGCGGAGGCTCAGCCAACGCGGGGTAATGATCCACTTGCCTCCTACCATGTGAAACCCACCATGCGAGCCAATCATCGCGGGCTCGCCTAGCTTAGCCCACCTTGGGCGTGAGAAGTGTCATCACGTGTCTCAGTTTGCTCAGTGCCCCACCATGACAGCATCGGTCAGTCAGTTCCTACCTCGAGGCTGATGGAGGGGCTACTCCAAAATCTGATCGGCCTGAGTCAACTGCTGAGCACGCCAAACGGGCACTCGCCTCAAACCGGAAGGAAAAAAAGACCTCGCGCCGACGAGACCCATGATAGCTGACGCCGCTCTTTTTTTTCATCCTTCTGTTTGCGAAGCTTTTCATTGTCGCGCAACTCCGAAGCGCTCGTTAGGTCAAGTCGGTGCCGACTCTTCCCCCGCCCGCCGCCTCGTTTCGACACTCCCCCCATCGTGGCGCGCCATCGCCCGCACCTTTGCCCCCCATGTCACGAGCTCAAGGAAGAAGCTCTCGATTTCCTGGCGCCAGTGCCTTTTCCAGCAGCTCCCATCCGGGTACGTCAGGGTTCGGCGGCTTCTCGTCAACCCAGGCCGGCAGCGGTCTCTCCTACCTGACCGAGCCTCCCGATTTCTCCTCCATCTCTGATGCGAATGTTGGTGTCGCCTTCAAGAACTTGCTCAAGAAAGATGCCACAACCAAGACAAAAGCTCTGGAGGAGCTCGTGGCATACGTGAGAGCGCACCCTCACGAGCAGCATGGAGGGCCCGAAGAGGCGATTCTGGAAGCTTGGGTGCGTCCCCCTGGAGCCTGCGAACTTGTGTGCGAGCAGCTAGTAATGTATATAATAGGTTCAAGTGTACCCTCGTATCTCAATAGACAATGCCCGACGGGCGCGCGAGCTCTCACATACCCTGCAATTCGAACTCATGAAGTCTGCGAGAAAGCGCATGGAGAAACGGGTGCCGAAAGTGGTTGGCACCTGGCTCGCAGGCACGACAGACAAGGATCGTGCAGTCGCAAACGCGGCCAGCCAAGGCCTCTCGTCCTTGCTGACCAACATCGACAAGGTCCTCGCTTTCTGGAAGAAGTGCCAGCACCAGATCCTCACGTACTCGGCCGAAGCGATACGAGAAACGAAAGATACCCTTAGCGACGAACGATCGACGACGGCCGATGATGCGGAGGCGAAATACTTTCGTGTCGTAAACTCTAGTCTGTCGTTGGTTCTTGAACTATTACAGAAGCTGGAGCAAGCCGATCTTGACGCCGAGGCGGACTCCTACGACATCTTTTTCTCGGAGGACGTGGTATGGAAGAGTGCGACCTTTGCCGACTCAGCGGTCAGGAAGGTCGCCTGCGAACTTCTATGGACCTGTTTGGAGAAGAGACACGATTCTGTCGCATCACAAGTGTCAAGACTGAAGAAGATCTTTGTCACAGAAGGACTCAAGAGCAACCAGACCGGCTCTGCTGTTGAGTATGTGAGGGTTCTAACCCGCTTGACGCAAAAGTTCCCCGAAGTTTGGTCATCGAGCAGCGACAAGAAGACGCCCATCTCTCGTCTACAGATTTTCTTGGAAAAGGGGTCGCAAGGTAGCTCGGTCAAGTTCTGGGGCTACCTGGAGCAATTGCTCGCAGTCCTTCCGACCGAACAGCTGACTCACGAATCCGCGTCCGACATTCTAGGGTCGTTGAGAGTCGGTATTGCGAGTCGTGGAGAACCTCGGATCAACGCGCCATCAGCATGGACATGCTACGTTCGCGCTGCGCGGCACTTTCTCACCTTGTTGCCGCCCGATGGCCCTCAGTCTCAGTTCCTTCTTGACCATATTTTCCCTCTCATCAGCCACTACCTGAAACCCACGACGGAAACGACGGGATGGGATGTGGGAGGCAAACCAGGTACCCCGGTTCTCGTGGAAGCATTCGGCATCACCGTAGACCGTCACCTTGAGGGGGCTCAAACAGAGATTGCAGATGCATGGCAGCGGCTATCCTCCGAATTATGTTCCAAGATATCCAGCTCCCTTCCAGAGGTGTCGAAAGACTACGAAAAGTCACAAGATGCCGTTGCCCAAGAGGGCGACCGGTGGTTCTTACTTGTTGGTCAAATTCACGCCAAAATACCTGCCGCGCACCAGAAAGCGCAGGTCCTGGACGGTCCATCCAAGGATATCGTGTTTCGCGCCATCGAATTGCTGGCCAACAGAAATCTCAAGCCGTATGGCGCTGCGAGCGTGCTGCACAGTGTCGGCCGACATGCTTCCTTCATTTGGGAAGACAAATTCGTTTTGACAGCATTCGAGAAATTCCTACTTGAGCAGGGCCGTGACCACATGGACTTAATCCTTGCCTCACGGTCGCGTAAAGACCTCGTTGCCTGTGTTTCAGGCTTGGGAGCTTCACAAAACCAACACGCAGCATTCTCCACGATCTGGAAGACTTGGGTAGATACCCTTATCCTTCAGCAAGAGAAGCCTGCAGCACTCGAAGCTATCGGAAGTTTGGCAACGTCACAAAGTGGAATCACGTTTGCCTCGTCTCATGCAGGCTACCAGGACTTGTTGGCAGCCAAAGCGTCTCAATCCTTGCAAGGTTCTACCGATGCGTGGTCATTCCTAGAGGAGGCTTTCAGCAAAGAAACTGTCACTGATCGTGTATCGGAAAGCATTGTTCAAGAGGCACTCACACTTCTCGGCCGAGACAAACAACACACCGACAACGCTGTACGAGCCCTCGAGATGATTGCCAGCCGCAACCCTGCGCAACTTTCACGGGATGATACGACGCACATGGTTCTCATTACATCTTTGCTTGGCCTAGCTGAATTGGACGATTCTACCATCTCGTCCCGCGCCAACACATTGCGATCTCTCATCGACAAGCCGTCAGGCGGGAAGCAAGCTGCAGTGGCAATCATACGCAGAAACTTGGAGGATGCGAATCACCAATCACTTGGGTAGGTTGTATTCTATGTCTATGGTCCGAAAAAATATTTATCACTGACTGATAATAGTATCGAAACACTATGTGACCAAGCTATCCAAGCCGCCGAGGGCGGCGATGTCGCTATCAAAGATCTACTCCCAAACACTACTGTATGGATGCAAGAGTTGCGACCATTCCTCCAAAGCGACGTAGATCCTTCACTGGCAATCACGAGCAATATTGCAGGAGCTCAATTCCTGGTCCAGCCTGAGGACTCTGATGAGCAGAAGCGCATACGAAGAGATCGGGAAGGACGCTCCATTCCGGCTCGCATGGCGCTCTACACTGCTCAGCTTCTGGCGTCCCAGATTAATCTTCAGGGGTTGCTGGAGAAGTCCGATGCCAAGATTCTTTTGCTTCTTGCAGTTTCAATTCAACTGACCTCGGATCAAATCACGTTGCAGGATACTCACAAACTATGGGCCAGTCTAGCATACAAGGATTCTTTGCCGTCAGCGGAAAGCCTAGTCTCGACTTCGCGAACCGCAATCAACGAGCTTGCAGAGAAGGCGACTGGATGGAGTCATGAAACGAGTGCAGGAACCACAGAATTGGTCAACGGCTTGGTTGAATTGATGGCCACAAAGACAAGAGACCTTACGCCGTTGGGTCTCTACAACGCCAGAGCCCTGAATGACCTTATCGGGACTCTGACAGATCATCATGGCCCACCCTCATCGGTCGATGATGTGCTTGTCAAATTTGACGCGGTGAAGGCGTCACCTACGACTATTCTCGGCGCTGTTGCTCTCTTAGACGGATTTGGGGAGGTGCTGCAGTCGTCGAAGCTAGTCAATACGCTTTGCAACCGCCTGATCAGCGACGCAGCAGGACTTTCAGCCCAATCCGAGAAGACCTTGCCCACGCTTGTGCTCCTCAACACCTGCACCCGAGTATTTGGTGTCGGAGAGATACCCGTCGCTAACAATCGATTGGTATTTGCAATCCGTCAAATCACCTCTTGGCTAGACGATCCGGTTGGCTTAACCCCAGCTTTGTCGACGGAGATTTGTCGAGCGTTGCACATGCTGCTTCCCAGCATAAAGGACGTATATGGACCGCACTGGGAGCGCACGATTGAGTTCTGCACGACGCTCTGGTCTAAGGCTGCATCTGATGATCTAGAGGACGCCATTCCTTACATCCATGCGTCTCTGAGGCTGATGAATACCCTCGAGTCTATCTCTGAGCCTAACGATGACCTGGTGGACGCCATTCAGGAAGCCGCAGAGAACAAATCGCGTGCCCTCTTGACGCTTCTTGAGATGCCGAGGGAGAAGAGCACGCAGCCTCTAGAGATTATTGACGGCCTCATCTGCCGCCAGGTTGAGAAGATCCCACTGAAGCATGTTGCCGACCTCTCAGACCTCTATGGTCTCGTGTCTTCCGAGTCGCGCGACATTCAAACTGCTGCCTTCAGCGTGCTTCACCGGTCATTGCCAGCCAAACAAGAACAGCTGTCGATTGATGTTCTTTTGGAGAAGTCTGGTATGTTATATTACTATCTTGAAGATGGTTGATCGGTACTAATAATCGTCACAGACGCGCGTCTACCTGATGAACTGCTCTCTCTGTTGCTAGAGGCGCCGACCCTGGAAAAGTATTCAGACGAGGTTCTCGCCCAGTTTCCCACCGCAATACGGTCTTACCTCCTCACATGGTGCCTCGTCTTCGACGCCTACAGCACCGCATCTCTCAAGGTTCGAAACGACTATACTGAGCACTTGAAGACCGAAAATTACGTCGGCCCTCTGATGGAGTTTACGTTTGACGTTCTCGGCCACTCTGCCGCTCACGCCTTAAATCTCGATCGCGAGGGACTCACAATCGAGCAGATCAGATCCTACGACCTCAAGGTTGCCGATTCAGAGCCTGAGGAAAAGAATCTGCACTGGCTCCTTGTTCACCTGTATTATTTGACTTTGAAGTATATACCTGGTCTTTTCAGGGCCTGGTACATAGAGTGCCGCTCGAAGCAGACCAAGATTGCAGTGGAGGCGTGGATGATCAAATACTTCTCACCTTTGATCATCTCGGAGGTCCTCGACGAAGTTGCCGTCTGGGCGTCGTCGCAAGAAGCACCGGCTGCAGATGAGAACGAATTGGTCGTCAAGGTAAGCCCGACGGCCAAGGAAATCACAGCTGGATACGAAGTCGACGAGTCACTGGCGTCCATCGCCATTCGAGTCCCGGCGGGCTACCCTCTTGAAGGCGTCAACGTCGTCGGACTCAACAGAGTTGCGGTCAATGAGCGCAAGTGGCAGAGCTGGTTGATGACGACTCAGGGTGTCATTACTTTCTCGGTAAGTTTTCTTCGCCCCTTGCATCACGATCCCGCGCTCTGGAGAATAGCACGTTACTGACACCCCGGCAGAACGGCAGCATCATTGACGGCCTCACCACCTTCCGTCGCAACATTGTCGGCGCCCTCAAGGGTCAGAGCGAGTGCGCCATTTGCTACTCCATCATCTCAACGGATAAGAAGATGCCGGATAAGAAATGTTCGACCTGCAAAAACCTCTTCCACCGAACCTGCTTGTACAAGTGGTTCCAGAGCAGCAACCAGAACACATGCCCTCTGTGTCGTAACCCGATCGACTATCTTGGCTCGGATGTGAAGACGAGGAGGGCAGCAGCTGCGTAAAGTAATGAGTATCACAGCCTAAGAGCCTGAGACACAACAAACAAAACAAGACGCAAGGGTTGACCCATTAAAGGTCAGAGGCCAAGCAATTGGGTACTTCGTGCTGGAGCGGTCCTGAAGAACCAGTCTATAGAGTTGCAGCTGTCATTGCATGGGCGTGGTGGTATGAAGCATTCGAAGAATAGACACTAACTGTATTATCACCGAGATTCTGGCTGTGTTGAGACTCCAACGATTGATAATGGCACATGCTACGCAGGTCGACTTAAAAGAGTCGACTTAGAAGAGGAGGTCTCGATGGTGCTCAATGAGCCAAGACGCGATCACAGTCTCGCACAGCCTGCGTCGCTCGGGATCCATCCGACCCATCTCCTCCATTTCGTACTCCATGTCATCATCGCCGTCGTCGTCCGCGCCAGAAGTTTCAGCGAGCAGCGGTCTCCATGCAGCATCTGCGTGAGGTTCTTTGCCCTTCCGCTTCTTGCTGACACGACCGGCAACGACGCGAGCCATTCTCGCATGCGCCTGAAACTCACGCTTATGGTCACTCCACCTGGGCTTGCTTTTCTTACGACCCGTAAGGCCCGCAGCCTTCTCCCTCTGCTCTTCCTCCGCCTTTTGCCTCTCCTTCTCGGCACGCGCGGCATCCTGCTCCTCTCTCTGCTTCGTAAACTCCCTCGTCTCGCAGCCTCTGCACCTGGACCCGAACCCGGCGGAGATGTAGGCGCCGCACTTGGGGCACTCGATGATGCAGCCGTCCTTGATGCACCGCGCCTGGTCCATGCCGTGTTTCTTCTTCGGGCAATGGTGCAGCGTGCGCCCGCCGGGGTTCTTGTCGTTGAGGTCGGCGATGGCGCGCGGGTTGATCATGGCCTGGATCTGGCGGTTGGACATGCCTTCGTCTCGGAGCATCTGAACGCGCTCGTTGTACGGAACGGACGTGTCGAGGGCTCGCTCGCGCAGGATCGCCTGGGCGGCCGTCTCGACCGTTTCGTCGGGGAGGGCATTGGTTATGGCGAGGAGCCGGTCTGTGGACTGGGGCTTGATGTTGATGCCGTGGCCTTTCGGCTTGCCGCGGGCCATGAATGCATTGAGAGTCGCGCCGGGATACATCTTGACGAGGCTCTTGTGGTTGTTGTTCTAATAAAGTGATTGTATGTGGGTATATGTGAGCGTAACCTGTGCTGACGGAGGAATTGACTTGGATGGAGACTGATATGCTATCCATGGGTTTCTTTGTCATAGGATGCATCGCAGCCAAGAGTAAAGGAGTCTACGATGACGCGACAGCTAGTCGGGAACAAAGAACGATGGTAAAGGAGACCTTGGCCCGTGGAATGTAGTCCTTTCAGGGCTGAGAACTCCTTCACCTTGTTGCTTATTCGTCTGTAGTACTCGATTTGATGCCCGCTGGACGGTCTCTCTACCGAAATGTTGACTCTCTAGCTTTGCTGTTTTGCCGAGGTTTCTGCCAACTTGACCCAGCATATGGAGAAGTCATCTACGGGAGAGTAGCAGAAATGGGAGGTCAGGTTCAATCAGCCAGTCTGTCCAGTCATGAAGTTGTGAAGCAAGGCCTTTACACTGTTAGACCATGAGCAGAATGATGGTTGGCAGGAGAAACCGCACCTCTTCAGCAGTCATCCTTCTTGAGTCGAATCGAACCATGCTGGCGACTAAGTCTCGGATGCCAGGGTCGATGGCCGGCAGGATGTCCTCCCAAGCCTTCCCCTCGATCGTTCTGTACATTTCAAAAGGCGGCGTCTTATATGTAGCGGCCTCTGGCCATGTCTCTTTCGTGGGCGTTCCGAGTGTTTTGAAGATGCTCAAGATCAATCCCAGTTGATTGCCATCCTCGTGTGTTGGCCGTGACTCAAACAGGGGTATGGGTGGATAGCGACAGGCTTCGGCAAGCATGGTGCCTGTGGCCCAAATGTCAACACCGGTTCCATAAGACTTGTCGCCGAAGAGACACTCTGGAGCACGGTATGGACCCGTGCCAATGTCGAGAATCTTGTTATCTGCGGGCTCAGATATAATCGACATGTTCGGGTGCCATGCGGTGCCAAAGTCAGAGAGCAGTGCTGGTCCCTCGGGATTCTGTAGGAGAATGGCCGCTGGTTTGATGTCGCGGTGAATGATGCCCTGTGCGTGTATGTCCCTCAAGGCGGTGAACACATCTGTGAAAATGCTCCGAAGGCGGTTCGCCGGCAATGGCTCTTGTTCAAGCACATCGGCGAGAGTGAGTGGCATGTATGGAAATACCAGAACGAAGCGCTGGTCGTGGTCTCGGAAAGTCTCGAGTAAAGGGATACATGGCCGTTTGAGAAGGGCGAGAATTTTGGCCTCGCGCTGTGGGTTGTGTGGCTCAATATTGCGCGTTTCGACAATCACCTTCAAGGCTCGATCTTTACAGCGAAAGACCTCCGATGTCAAGCCTTCTGCAACTGGCATGCAGTTCTCGTAAGGCCCAATGGCAATTCCTACCTCGGACGGATGATCCTCGCCAGAGTCCGCAGACTCGGCTAGCGGGGGTGCGACATCTCGGACCAAACGGCAGGCGTCTTCATATTGTTTCTGTCCTTCAAGACTGTTATTAACAGCATGTCTTCTGCCGATGCAACGTACGCAGAAGACCTTACCCGGCTGGCGCTATCCCTGAAAGCTTGGTTCTCGAGAGCAAAGGCCTCGGATTGTGCGGTCACTGCAACCCCAGGATTTGCTCCCTCCAATGCGGATTTTCTGCCAATCAGTCAGAAAAGATGTCGCATGTGGCGGCTTTGAGCCTGATTGAGGATCTTTTGGCTGACATGTTTTGTATGTTCTCGAAGCGATCGCTCGCAGAGACAGTGGGCCGCCAGTCTGGCTCATCGGCCGCCATGCTTGCGAAGAGCTTGTTCCTGTACAGCACAAGTGAGGGTCAGTTCTTCAGCCCTCCGATGACCGAAGTTGCGTGATCGGGCTCTAGCGTTCAGCAAACAGGTGTTGTGTGGAGGTGCAAGGTCTTGAGAAGATCGTCAGATGGAGGGATCAGGGAGGTTCATCTCTTCCAGTGGCTTTGACACCGTGCATTGGCAGTTGTCAGTGGTTCAAGCACTGTATCTGTGGCGCTGTGGCCCAGAACAACACCACGCGAAACCGCGTTTTGAGTGGATCTCGGCAATGGCGATGCCTTCACTCTGCTTTCACCTAGCGACTCGTGATACGCATATCCCTCGTCCTTGGTTGCTTTGCGATCTGATTCTAGGGGTTTTTGTGTCCTTGTAATCCGACGTTCGCTTGAGTAGCCCAGCCGCGGAGCAGCACATGGGTATTCCTATGGCTTCAGTGCCCATCGAGTCCCTTTCACTGGCTGCGGAGGAAGAAGGTACATATCACAGGAGGTGAACTCTCTGAGTTTGATCTTTTACTAACAATAATAAAACAGCCTCAAGCGTCTCCTGGTTGTTCCCTCCTGGGTCCGGCCTCTTTTCTGGCTCGGTTCACCACCCAGCCTAAGGCGGAGCCAGCCAGTGGGTGTTTGATCTCCTGCGATTCTCGATCTTTTCCTCGTCGTAGTACTGACCTATAATTAGATTGATACACAAAGGTTGAAATTGGCCCTTGTTCCTGATGGCAGCGCGAAGATGGCCAGCAGCCTGAGCAAGCAATAGTCAAAGTCGGCGCAGGATACAAGTCACTGATCAGTAGCACTGCTGACCCCTTGAGCTTCTGTTCCAGAGCACTTCGAAAAGGCCGAATAAGTGCTAGGCCACCATTGATAATGATACGCAGCTGCCAGACTCCAATTCACAAGTCCTCGCAATTTTCAGTTCAGGACCGTAGAGCAAGTCCATGCAGCAAACTCGCTTGCAATGACGCCCATCCTCAGGTCGTCCTATACTCACCAACTTGGCACCAATTTCCTGAAAGCGGCTAAAGTCGAATGACGGGCAAACATCTCAACTGCTGGAAATCGGGCCGTTCGATTGCTTCATACGCACCACCAGATCAAAATCATGTCCTGTCGTCCTCCCCTGGCGACCAGGTCGGAAAACTTGTACGAGGAGCCATTAGAGTTCCCCGCTCCCTTCACTTACATGCATCCAGCAGTGCCACCAGGTCTTGTATGGACGGGTTCTATGACAACCCAGCAGCAAGAGGGGCAATGCGCCGGTCGACCGGCCCGCGACAAGGATGCTCCCCGCGTCTTTTTCAAAGCCAAATATCCGACGCCGACGGAGGGAGGCCGATTAGGGAGCTGTCCGCGGCTCCCGACGTCAGTTGTTTTTTCGTCGGCAGAGGCTCGCGCGACCTACATCATGGCGCATGTCGTGCCACTGATCCTGACTCCCCTGCCCCCGTCGGCTTGATTTCCCCTCTCTGGGGGGGATGAGGGGAATCCATGTCGATCTGCAGGACCGACCAGAACAGATGGCGATGGACTGTGCCTGAGATCGACGAGCCATTCTCGGCCTGCCAATTCCGCCGCTACGCCACGACTTGCATGGACATGGTAGCATCCCGACGGGTTGCAATGCGCCGTGTGGGAAAATGGGGTGTTTTGGAATGAAATAGATCCCGTCGCCCAGCTTGCACGGGGCAGCATCGAAGGGGATGTCGATCACATTGTCTGTCTGTCGACTTGCGATTCAAGATCATTGTGCAGAGCTTCGCAACAATGCTACTGTCACGTCTCCAGATCTTGCCTTTGCTGGCCTCCACATGGCTCTCAGGAGTCAGTGCAGTTGCCGCGGATGCGGGCATTCAAAGCCTCCATGAGAGACAACAGAAGATTGTGAGTATAGTCGGAATGGGTAGTATACCCCCAGAGACCACTACGTTCAGCTACCTGAACTTCGCGCCTGCTTCAGCGTTGAGAATGTCTTGTACTCAGCGTATCTGATACTGACTCTTTCACAGGTCACCTATGATGGCAACAGCGTCTTGATCAACGGCGAGAGGCTGATGCTCTTCAGCGCTGAGTTCCACGCTTTCAGGTATGGGCTGTGTCTCTTCTGCTGGGACCAGGATACACTAACAATAGATGAAGAATGCCAGTTCCCAGTCTGTGGCTTGACATCCTGCAGAAGATCAAGGCTATGGGCTACAACTGCGTTTCGTTCTACGTCAACTGGGGCCTCGTCGAGGCAAAGCCTGGCGAGGTCCGCGCTGAAGGCATCTTTTCTCTGGAGCCCCTCTTCGAGGCCGCCCAAAAGGCTGGCCTCTATCTCTTTGCCGTACGTTCAAGCTCTGGCACAACTGCTGCAAGAGGGAAACAGCCGACCTAACTCATTGCAGCGGCCCGGACCCTACGTCAACGCCGAAGTTACCGGCGGAGGCTTCCCTGGCTGGCTCCAGCGGGTTCAAGGAGCACTGAGGACGAGCGATGAGGCTTACCTGAAGGCGACCGACAAGTAAGCACAGTGTGACGCTGCCATGAGACGTATCTGCGCAGTTACTGACCTGCACAGCTACACTTCAGAGATTGGCCGCATCATTGCCGATGCCCAAATCACCAACGGTGGCCCGGTGATCCTGTTTCAGATGGAAAACGAGTACATGTTCGCCGTCGAGCCATACCCATTCCCTGACTTCGACTACTGGAACTACGTCGACAACCAGTTCCGCAGCGTGGGTGTCGTTGTCCCCTACGTCAACAACGAGGCATGGAAACTAGGCGGCGTCACGCCTACAACTCCTGCTAGCGTTGACATCTACGGTTTCGACTCCTACCCACTCGGGTTCGACTGCTGGAACCCGAACCAGTGGCCTGCTCAGGGCCTGCCTACAGACTGGCTTCAGCGTCACCGGGAAATCTCCCCCAACACCCCGTTCACGATAGTCGAGGTACGTTGTCGCCCAAGCAGCATCTGCGAAACCAGACTCTGATACTGACGCCTCAAAGTTCCAAGGTGGTGGTTTCCAGCCTTGGGGCGGTGCTGGTTTCGAAAGCTGTGCTGGTCTGCTGAACCACGAATTCGAGCGTGTGCTGTTCAAGCATGCCTACGCTGCTGGAGCGACACTTTTCAACGTCTACATGGTATGCAGTCCCTTATGAATCCAAGGATCACTCCTGACAGCCAATAGACCTGGGGCGGAACAAACTGGGGCAACCTTGGTCACTCTGACGGCTACACCTCCTATGACTACGGCGCTCAGATCACAGAGGAGCGTCTTGTCAACCGCGAGAAGTACAGCGAGTCAAAGCTGCAGGCGAACTTCTTCCACGTCTCGCCGGCTTATCTCGAGGCTGAACGCCACTTTGCCTCTCTCGACTGGACGGACAATGCCGCCATCACTGTCACTCCTGCGACGACGAACACCACAAAATTCTACTTCACCAGGTACGTTGGCAAGTAACACTCGGTGCTCTCGATCAAAGCTGACCAGCCACCTTAGGCACACACAGTACAGCTCGCTGGAGACTGTGGCTTACAAGCTCACCGTGGACACCGTTGAATATGGAAACCTCACCGTTCCTCAGCTTAGTGAGAGCCTGTTTTTGACCAGGAGGGATTCCAAGATCCACGTCAGCGATTACGCCGTCGGTGACAAGACTCTCGTTTATTCTACCGCTGAGATCTTCACCTGGTAAGCTTAACAATCTTCTCGAACAAATCCGAGCCTGTCTGACAATACACAGGAAGCAATACAAGGACAAGACTGTTCTGGTTGTGTATGGCGGTCCCAACGAGCACCACGAGCTAGCTGTCGAGGGCAAGGGGGATGCCGAAGTCATTGAAGGATCTGATGTGGAAACCGACCAGAAGGATGGCTACACGATCCTGAACTGGGAAGTCACGGAGGATCGCAAGGTCGTCCGAGTGCACAAGGACCTCTACGTCTACATCTGAGTTGGTTCTCCCAGTACTCCTCCCCTCGACCCCGCTAACATGCAATAGACCGAAATGAGGCATACAACTACTGGGTTCCCCCGACCGAGGCTGACCTTGGGACCGCGGATGTCATCGTCAAGGCTGGCTACCTCGTCCGTACCGTCTCGATTGACGGATCCTCGCTCAGCTTTGTTGGTGACGTCAACGCTACAACCCCTATTGAGGTCATCGGCGGCGCCCCCACCTCGTTGAAGGCTCTTGAGTTCAACGGAAAGGCTCTCGACTTTGAGCAAGATGACTCGGGTGTCGTGTCTGCCGTGATCGAGTTTAAGACACCCGACATCAAGCTGCCCTGCCTCAGCCGCCTGAAGTGGAAGTACCTCGACAGCCTGCCCGAGATTCAGTCCGACTACTCCGACGACGCTTGGCTGGACGCTGACAGAGACACCTTGAACATTGCCAACCCCCTGGACACTCCCAAGAGTTTGTATGGCGGCGACTATGGCTTCCACACCGGATCCCTTCTCTTCCGCGGACGCTTCACTGCCAACGGCGAGGAGGCCAGCAGCGGCAACGCTCTTGACCTGACCACGCAAGGCGGCAACGCGTATGGTACTTCAGTTTGGCTCAACGACCAGTTCATTGGCTCTTGGGTCGGCAACGCCGTCGCCCCCGCTCACAACAGCACGTTTGATCTCCCCAAGCTCACTGAAGGCGAGGAGTACATCATCACCGTCGTCGTCGACCACATGGGCATGAACGGCAACTGGGTCGTTGCGGAAGAACAGCAGAAGAACCCCCGTGGTATCCTGAACTACGCGCTGTCTGGCCACAAGCAGTCTGACATTGCCTGGAAGATCACCGGCAACCTCGGCGGTGAAGACTATGCGGATGATGACAGGGGTCCGTTGAACGAGGGTGGCCTGTTTGCTGAACGTCAGGGCTACCACTGGCCTCAGCCTCCTTCGGATAGCTGGGATGACAGCAAGGGTCACGACTGAAGGCATCAAGGAGCCCGGCATTGCTTTCTACTCCGCAACCTTGATCTGATCTCCCTACTGGGTATGACATCCCGCTCTCGCTCACCTTTGGAAACACCACCGATGTTGCCTACCGCGCACAGCTCTTCGTCAACGGCTACCAGTTTGGCAAGTTTGTCCACCACGTGGGCCCTCAGACTCGTTTCCCTGTTCCCGAGGGCATCCTCAACTTCCAGGGCTCCAACCACCTCGCCATCTCGCTCTGGGCCATGGAGGAGGGAGGCGCCAGGATCGAAGGTCTCAAGTGGGAGGTCGGCATGGTCAGTGCTACAGGTTTTGGACCCGTCGAGCCTGCACCCCAGCCAAAGTGGCGCGAGAGGAAGGGCGCATACTGAGCTGCTCGTAAAAAGACGGCCAGTTGGGACAATACACGTGCTTGCAGCTTCAAAGTAGATCCTATCAGATATGAACGTCTTCTGAAAACACATATACAAGTTGTTTGTTTGCCATGTATGCCCCGCTGTTAGACTTCTCGGTCTCGTAAACCTGCTCGGCGCGGGGTATCGCACTCGGAAGACCAGGTCCCAACATTGACTGCCGGAGGAGGGCGGTCTATCCGCGACCTCATTTGCCCGCTTGTTGGATATGTGTTCCTGGGGTCACATCCATTCCCCGAGTTAGTTACTTGCATGCAGCATCCTAATTACCCGGCACACAAGAATGAGGGGTACAGGCCACTAAAGCATGTGTTGCGGGTGAAAGTCATTTATCGATGAAATCTATATAATGTATTGTACCGAATTTCACTAACACAAAGGACAGCATGATGCTGACGAAAGGGGCTGCCGGAACCATAAGCTTGAGCTCTTACAATGAAGCTGTTCGAATTTTTGGCTTCCGCCATTTTGCTGCTGCCAAGTACGCTTGACCCTGGTGAACAGGGCGTTCGCTTCACTGACACGGATCAGCAATCGTTGATGGCCTCATCAATCCCATCATCCCTGGATTCAACCCTGACCCAAGCATTATTAGGGTCAAAGAGGATTACTTTCTCGTGACGTCGACCTTTGAGTATTTCCCTGGTGTACCTATTTACACCTCGAAGGACCTGTGAGTACGCATCTGTCGTCCCTGACGGAAATTCTATCACTCACATGGAACTAGCGTCAAGTGGGAGCAAATTGGGCATGCTCTGTCGAGACCATCACAGTTGCCGCTCCGCGGTACAGCGCCCAGCGGTGGTGTGTTCGCCCCGACGATCAGATACCACGACGGAATTTACTACGTGACGACAACCATTTTCGATGTCATCAGCCCTCCTGATAATGTAAGTCTCAGTGTCTGATCATCCACACCAGCTATCCCCTCTGCTCACGCTCCAGGTCACTCGCGTCCCACGATCCTTCTATGTCACTACGGACAACATCTGGGACCCCGATTCCTTCTCCGAACCAATCTACGTCGACCAATGGGGCTTCGACCCGGACCTCTTCTTCGACGACGATGGCAAGGTGTACTTTACGAGCACCTTCTCCGAGTTGATCGACTACGGCAGCTTTGCCAACCACATTACGGAGATTGACATAAAGACGGGCAATTCCCTCTCCGCGTCCCGTGTTCTCCACACCACCACAGTCCCCGAAGACGTCGGCTACCCGCTGACCGAGGCAAGCCACCTCTACAAGATTAACGGCACCTACTACATGATCTCCGCCGACAGCGGCACGGAGGAGAACCACTCGGCCAACAACTACCGCGCGTCTTCTCTCGAGGGGCCCTGGGAGGCGAACCCCAACAACCCCGTCCTCTGGAACGGCAGGGACCGGTCGCTGCCGGTCCTCGCGACGGGCCACGCCGACATGGTCGAGGGCACCGACGGCCGGTGGTGGGCCGTCTTCCTCGCCACGCGGCCCCAGAACCCGCGCAATGCAACTGGCCGCCCCCAGCTCGGCCGCGAGACCTTCCTGTGCCCCGTGACGTGGGAGGACGGCTGGCCCGTGTTCAACGGCGGCGCGCCCATCACCGAGCACATGCCCGGCGTGCTGTACGACCTGCCGCGGCCGGTGAGGTGGCGCGACGACTTTGACGGCGGCCTCGCGGACGGCGCGTACTATCACCAGCGCACGCCGTACAAGGACTTTACAGACTTTGCGTCGGCGCCCGGCAAGCTGCGCATCCGCGGCAACGTCTACGACCTGTCGCATCGGGAGACGCCGGCGGCGCTGTTCCGCAAGCAGGTCGACGTCAACACAACGTGGAGCACGGAGCTCAGCGCCTTTGAACCGTCTTCGGCCCGGCAGGAAGCCGGCGCGGCCGTGTTTTTGAGCATTCACTACCACAACTCGATCGCCGTGACGCGGTGCGAGGACAGCGAGGCCCGGTGCATCGTCGTGCACACGCGGACGGGGCCGGACTTAACGCTCAATACGACGTACATTGAGGACGAGGGCGTCGCAGCAGGGAAGCCGGTCAAGCTTTTCATCGAGGCACGGGATGTTGGGTACCGGCTGGGGTATGCGACGGGATGCGGACGGCCGCGGTGGGTGGCGAGCGTTGAGAACCGGTGGCTGCAGGCATTCGTCAGCGGCTGGCAGAACTTTGTTGGCACACATTTCGCCATCTACGCCACGGGGACCAAGTTGCCCATTCTCAACCCGGCAGTAAGTCGTCCTCACACGATGGGTCACGAGCAGATTAGCAGGGTGTTTGCTGACTTGTGCCAGGACTTTGAGTATGTGCAGACAGAGTTGATCTCCACGAACCTGACGAGGACTGACTGAGGGCTGGAGAGCGAACTTCAAGACCGACCGGAAGCACAATGTTGGATCACGGCTGTCCCATTATATGTTTTTGCGATTATCAATAGCTGTATGTGAGGTCGAGTCCAAAGTCATTCCATAAAACGGCGCCCAACCCACTCAGACGCCACTGCTGCCCAAAGCATGAAAGAAAATGTGGTACTGGCTTCTCGGATGGACAGTCTCTGCCGTCAGACATTGACGTCGCCGTCTGACAGGGGTCTCCTTCCGGTGATGAAGCGATAACAAGTGATGAGCCTCAGATCCTTACTCCGAAACTCCCTCTTAACGCCCTCCATCAAGACGCCTACCTGGTCCTGTGAATAGTTCCAAACCCGCGTGAACAGCGCTGGCGTATGGGAGTCGACCGACATTTGCATGTGCGTAAGCTCGTATCGTCCTAATTCTTTCAGGGCTGGATCCTTGGCCCAGGGCCCGATTGGGATGCGATATACGACTTCTTTGACGTCCTCGAACCCAGCGTCTTGCATCCATTGCTTGTGGAAACGTGCAATGTTGATGGGCTTGCCAAACATGTGGGACGCCTTGTCAAGTTTCTCAACCCATTCAGTTGTCCACGGAGCGCGCGCCATGCTGTCGTCGTCGCTGAAAATCCAGGCATCGTATTCTTGCATCTCGACGTACCCGCCAGGGACTAGATGCTCGCGCACGTTGCGGTAAAATCGTGCCCAGTCACCAGAGGTGCCCGACAAGGCGCGGCCGTGAATGTAGTCGAATCGCTCGTCGGGGCCATAGGTCCAGGCATCTTCGTAGTCATCGACGTGGAACTTGCAGTTTGGCGGCACCCAGTCAGGCTGGATAGGAGATAAATCGACGCCGTAGACATGGGCGTATGGGAATTCATCAGCCATGTCAATAGCCCAGATGCCGGTACCGCAGCCGAGATCGAGAATGCGAAGGGATCCGTCGGCCGGCGGATCCTCGCCTTCTACGGGTGGCGAGGGCAGAGGCGCCGTGTACAGGCTGCCGCGGAGCAGGAGGCGCCATATGTGATGTTGCAGGTCGAGACGCTCCTGTTCTTGGTCGTCGTTGGGCAGTACGTATTGGCCCTCGCGATAGGCGTGGTATCGGCGACCGTTCTCGTACTGGTAGTGATAGATGGAAGAGGACACAGAGCCAGTGTAGTTTGTCGCACTGTCCGAGCCGTACGTCGAGTCGTTGTCGTTGTCGTCGGGGCCATAGGCGTCCTGAAGCTGTTAGGCGAATCTATGGGGGTTGGTGGGAAGTTTGTCATGGCCTTACATCAACCTGTAAGGGCTCTGGTACGTCTTCGTCGTCGACGGGATTGAGGATATGTTGCAGTGAATGGGCGGCCCTTGGCGAAGCGCCCTGGGGAGAAGATGCCTTGGGAGAAGATGCCTTGGGCGAGGAGGCCTTGGGCGAGGAGGCCTTGGGTGACGACGCCTTGTGCAACGCAGCTTCGGCATCCCCAGGCGGCTGTTCCACCGGCGTGGTAGCGACCGAGGGCAGTGCCGCAGGGGGTGGTGTGGGGGAGGACATGGCTCGAGCACAGTACAGGGCTGCTCTAGGTCTAGGTCGCGGTCTGTCGATCACTGAAGTCGAGTCTGTTGGGGCCGAGAGAAGGGCCAAGAGCAACTAATTTGTGTGACGATGGAACATATTGTCAAGAATAGAGAGATGTGGTGCGCAGAGTCAGACAGACGAGACTAAGAAAGGTTATGGGAGAAGAGGGTCAGGACGAGTGTGGACCTTCGGACCTGCGGTCACGAGAACGAGAGTGGCCATTCAACGTATCAGTCTTCAGGAAGGTGCGGCTTCAGCGGCAGGCGAGGTGCGAAATGGATGCTACATACACAATTCTCACAAAGGGAAGTGGATTCGTACGTTTTCCCCAAACGGGCAAGGAGCACAGGCCGGGCGTTACAGCGCCACTTGCACCTGCTGCAGGACAGGTAGGTCATTCTTGCCTTGGCCACTTACCAAGGCGATGGGCCGATCCACGTGCCTCGTGCCTACCTGGTGCAGTGACTAGGGCAGGCGGGATCGACCGCTTTGCGAACAAGACAGAAGGTGAGATGCGCGCCCAAACGGCATATCTCGATTGTGCCTTCTTTACTACTTGTACCTACCTGCCTTGATGTAAAATACCCAGGTGAGCAACCGGAAGGCAAAGCAAGGCACTTTCTCTGATCATCAGCCCCTGAGGTCTTCGTCAGCGCCTACATACCTACACTCAATAGCTACCTCCGACAGATCTGGGTTCCCCAATCTGCCCCGATGCCAAGCCTGAGCTGCCCCCACCTTTTTTACCCTGAACAAAGCTGATCAAATCAAGTTCGAGGTGAGTACAGCGCCTGCCTTTTTTTCAATCCCCTGCATACGGTCGCGGGCACTGATCACGCACAACTCAGTGTGCCAGGACCCCGGCTTGCCCGGCACGGGCCAGCACCGGCCACCACTCGGGGCTCCCGGCATCTGTGGGGGTGTCACACCTCCAGGAACTCGGTGACAAACGGACTTTCTTCCCCTGCGCGCGCCCAAATCCCTGGTGCAAGGCGAATCAAGATCAGGTTTGACAAGATCGAGGCCAATTGATAGCCTGGGAGGCATTGCAACTGGCCAAACCACAAAAACAGATACCGCGCTCCAGTTCCTTTCGACACATCCGGTCACGTGTACGCACGTGACCCACCAGCACAGAGCCATACTTGTCTTAGGTAATCCAACAAAAATTGGACGCGATACCGGAGTAGACGCCGACTCCTTCTCTGGCAGTGACTGACCTCTCAACCCTCGCAAATACGAACGCAGCCAGCACATCATGGCATCTGGAAAGGCACCTGCAGAAAACATGCTTTGGGGTGGCCGCTTCACAGGTTGGTGTTTGCCTGCCGGGAGTTCGATTGGCATGTGCTAACCCCAGAATGACAGGCGGCCTCGATCCCCTCATGCTCCAGTACAATGCGAGTATTCAATACGACAAGCTCCTGTTCAAGGAGGATATCCTTGGCAGTATTGCGTTTGCCCGCGCAAACGCCAAGTCCGGCATTATTTCCAAGGACGAATTCACTGAAATCGAGCGAGGCCTCCGGGAGGTTCAGAAGGAGTGGGAGGCTGATACCTTTGTGATCATGCCCAACGATGAAGATATCCATACCGCCAATGAGCGCCGGCTTGGTGAGATTATTGGCAAGGACATCGCCGGAAAGCTACACACGGGTCGCAGCCGCAATGAGCAGGTTGCCTGTGACATGCGTCTTTGGCTTCGCAACCAGATCCAGGAGATCGAGGGCCACCTGAAAGCCTTGATTGAGGTGATTGCCGCCCGCGCTGAGGCCGAGAAGTAAGTCTGATGGGTACCCTCCAAATCTAGCAGCCGTCCTGACCTTGCTAGCGGCGTTCTCATGCCTGGTTATACTCACCTCCAGCGTGCCATGCCTGTTCTGTGGTCGCAGCATCTGTTGTCTTTTGGCTTTTACTTTGCGAACGATCTTGAGCGGCTGCGCGAGACGTCAAAGCGTGTCAACAGGAGCCCGCTTGGCTGTGGCGCTCTTGCTGGCAATGGTTTCAACATTGATCGCGATATGATGGCTGAGGAGCTGGGCTTCGCAGACATTCTATGGAACTCGATGAATGCTGTCAGTGACCGAGATTTCGTCACTGAATTCCTGCAATGGGGCAGTATGTTCATGCAACATATTTCTCGATGGGCTGAGGATCTTATTCTGTATTCCTCTTCCGAATTCGGCTTCATCTCCATTGCCGATGCTTACTCGACTGGAAGTTCTTTGATGCCCAACAAGAAGAACCCAGACGGCTTGGAACTCCTGCGAGGAAAAGCCGGCCGAGCATTTGGCCACATGGCTGGCCTTATGATGACCCAGAAGGGCCTGCCCAGCACATACCAAAAGGACTTGCAGGAAAGCTGGGAACCCATGCTGGATCATGTGAAGACCATCTCTGATAGCCTTCAGATTGCACAGGGTATCCTCTCCACTCTGACAATCAGGCCAGAGCGGATGAAGGCTGCCCTAGATCCGTTCATGCTGGCCACTGATCTTGCTGATTATCTCGTACGAAAGGGTGTCCCCTTCCGTGAGACGCACCACATCTCTGGGCGATGTGTCGCTACGAGCGAGAAGCTAGGTATTCCGATGAACGAGCTCTCGCTGGAGCAACTTCAGGCTATCGATAGCCGGTTTGGGGAGGACGTTGCGCAGACATTTGACTACGAGCGAAGCGTTGAGATGAGGTCGGTCAAGGGTGGTACTAGTCGGTCAAGTGTTCTGGAGCAGATCAAGGTTCTTAAGGCCACGCTGGCTTAGAGAGGTTGATAGCCGAGAGACTCCAATGACGAATCCTTCGGAAGTTCAAGATCGGAATGACGGTTAGGTGATGTTTTCGGTAACGCCTGGTCAGAGGGACTGGGAGGTTGAGGTGATTCGGTGATTCGGTGATTCGGTGATTCGAGGTGATGCTCACCGAGCAAGCGTCGTCAAAGCCCGCGTAAGAACAGCTTGCTCCCTTGACTCGTTGCCCAGTTTTCGTGCTAGACTAGGACCCTTAGAGTACCGTAGAGGACCTTGCTTGCCGACTAGGGCAGCCTGCGCTACCCAACCGCCTGGATTCCAACCAGGATTTGCCTTCTGCTGCGGCGGGGCCCGATCCCAGTGTGCCGTTCTGGGTCTCGTGGGAACAGGGGTCCTCCTTCTAGCCAGCCCTTTCCCCTCCACCTCATCCATCCCATCCCCTCCATCCCCTCAGCTGCCAACTTGACAAAGTCTCAGCTCTCCAGCAAACCACAGCGTCCCATTTTGGTGTCAGACACGTGAATTGACGCTGCTGAACGAGAAAAGACACCAGACGAACCAACCAACGGGATCCCACTCGCACTCGCTCCAAACCACAAATCGCCCACTATGGCTACCACTGACGGCACCTCCCGTCTCATCGCCGTCGTCGGCGCCACAGGCAACCAGGGCGGCTCCGTTGCCCGCCGCTTTCTTGCTGCCAACTTCCGCGTCCGCGCCATCACTCGCAACCCCTCTTCGCCTGCTGCTCTCGCCCTCGCCAAGGAGGGCGCCGAGGTCGTGGCCGCCGACCTCGACGACGCCGTTGCTCTCGCCGCCGCTCTCCAAGGCGCCAACCTCATCTTCTCCGTCACCAACTACTGGGAGCCGTTCTTCCGCCCAGACTGCCGCGCCGCCGCCGACAAGCAGGGCATCACCTGCCGCCGCTTCGCCTACGACGTCGAAGTGCGCCAGGGCAAGAACATTGCCGACGCGGCCGCCAAGACCGTCGACACGCTGGTCGAGAATGGCTTTCTCGTCTCGACGCTGAGCCACGCGGGTCGCTGCAGTCAGGGCAAGTACAAAGACCTGTACCACTTCGATTCCAAGGCCGACGTCTTCCCCGCCTACGTCGACGAAAAGTACCCGGCGTTGGCGGCCAAGATGTCGTGCATCCACACGGGCTTCTTCTACACGAGCCATCGCATCCTGCCCAACTCGTACTTTGGCAAGGTAGGCAAACCCTCCGACCTCGGTCATTGCTTTGATTTGCCTTTTTTTTTTTTTTTTTTTTTGTGTGTGTGTGCGTGCTAATCGTTTTTTGCAGCGCCCTGATGGCACGTTCCAAATGTCCTTCACCACGGCGCCTGACCGTGTGGCCCCTCACTTTGACCCGGTTGCCGACATGGGCTCCTTCACCTTTGCCGTGTCTCAGATGCCGCCTGGCAAGGCCTACATGGCCGAGGGAACCACGTGCAGCTGGACCGAGTGGATCCAAACTTGGGGAAAACTGACTGGTCAACCCGTCGCTTACAACCAGGTCACATTTGACGAAATGGTGGCTGCTACGGGAGAAGAGGCTACCGGCATTGAGGTCGCATTGATGTTTGAATACACCACCGATCCAGGCTATGATGGTGGTATGGATCTGCTGCGGGCGGAGGATATTAGAAAGGTAAGTTCTGCAGGCGGGGTGAAGTGTTCTGATGGACATGTACTGACATGAGCAGGCTGGTATCGATTGTCCGATGACAAGTCTCGAGGAGTGGGTTAAGAACCAGGACTGGACCGATATCATTAACAAATGATCTTCATCGACAAGGCCATGATGAGATATGAAGCAAATTAGATGATAACAAAAGTAGATGTTCCTTAATCAATCAATGATCTAGTCACTCAGCAATTGCAGCAATATCTGGCCAAGGCTTTTTGCAGAATCCGCTGCCCAGATGTCTTCAATAGCAGCATCAATTATTGTCATGCAAGTACAAAGACCTTGTCTCATCTACGTACCTACGCAGAAAGATAAACGAGCTCCTCATGCTCCTCGTGAGCGGAACAAAGAATTAAAAGCTGCTTAACAACAACGCTACATAGTACACGACACACATCGACCAACAATAGCTTTGTATCTCGTGCTATGTGGTTTCGACCTCTTTGTTAGGACTCGAGCCACTTCCTTTCAACATATCCTGCCCTCGAGGGTTAGGCCAATGGCTTCTGACAACCACTGAATACTTCTTACAAGGAAATACGATTGAGCAGCACCAAGGCACTTGGACCTGCGGTCTGAGCTGAACTTTTTTTTTTTTTGCTCACTAAGATGGACGAACATGATCCACTTGACAATGTTTTGATAAATCTATCAATCGACCTGAACTCATACACTACCTCGTGTATGTTGGTCCTCCTCGGTCTCGGCCCGTGTACCACTTCATCTGACAACAAAGCGACGGTCTCAACAAAATCATTGATTCTACATGCTAGGGCTGCCCCTGAACTATGACATTGCTCAAGCTTCAGCTCGAAAGGATAGCTTGACATGAGACGCGCCTACACAATACTCAATGTCAAGCCAGTGGGTTATTCTTGTTTCCAGACAAAGTTGCCCGCAAACTCATTCTGCGGACCCAGAAGCATTGATTTCACTCAGCGTATCGACGTCTGTTGCACATTCGCTCTTCGGAGGGATCAACCAACAGCATAAATACGCTTCATTGGAGCCACCCGTAGTATCTTGCCTTTCTTCCTTCATCATCCCATGTTCGACTCTTTCCACATACTCAGCACAATTACCACTCAGCACAATTGCCACTCAGCACACTTGCCACTCAGCACGATTGCCACTTACTCTCCAGCCATGGCAAGCAACGTTAACCAAAGCAGCTGGTCTGCCTCCAACAACCAGGCCCGATACCTCGAGCGCCCCATGCAGTACTCCCAGTACCCTCCCCAGGAGCCTTTCCAGCCAATCATCGACGGCACCAATACGCAGAACCATTCTTTCCACCCGTTGGGTATGAGCCCGCAGCATCATTTCCATGGCTGTCATGTCTTTCAAGTGCAGGGCAACATGACGCTCCCTTCGATGCCTTCGATGCCTTCTCTTCTGCCAGCACGCATGATCCAGTCCTCCGCTGGAGGCATGCCTCCTGTATATCACTCTCCTGCCGAGGCTGGACCTCGGCGCTTCGAACCTGAAGCCCACGTCACTAGTACTATTCCGCCCATCCAGCGCTCCGATGACGTGCGCCTTCGGAACGGGGAGGCTCTGCAAGTGCAGCCCAAGCCTCAAGCAAAGGACCAGCCTGCTGGTGATGGGTCACAGCCTGCCCAGCATGCCTGGGACGAGAAGCCCCGTCAACCTGGACGCGGCAGTATTACTGGTGGTTCTATTCACTCTTCTCTTCAACCTGTGAACAGTGCCGGCCTTCGAATTCTTTCGCCATGGCAACAGGCCGAAATTGACGAGTATCTCAAAGTTGTCGGATACTATGGAAACCCGAAATATCCTGCCCTTCCAAGCAACATCAAGCCTCGGGTCAGCAACACGAACCCAGTCTGGAATAACACTGTCGGCAATGTTCAGCCAGAGCCAAAGCCCCTGATTCCATACATGACACCGGCTAACATCAAGTTGTTGCGTCCCTCGCCAAGCCACTCCGTTCGACCCATAGCCTTGCGACGCGGCAACAAGCAGCCCGCAAACGTAGCAGTTGTCACCGAGAAGGACTATTGGCTCCCTGACGTTTGTGACAAACCGGTGAAGCGGTGCACCGGCGACGATGATGTATACCACGCAACTCCCAAGGCGGTTCTCCGCCATGCCGCTACTTCCAAGATCCTGCCGACGCTTCATGCTT